ACTATCAGCATCTCCAGCTCTCCGACCCATGGTCTGTGCCCGGTACCGGCATACAGAGCTTATTTGGGTAAGCGCTCAAAAGGATTACAGCAGGCCTTTGTACACTTTGACCATACTCCACTAACTAGGTATTAGTTTCAAGCAGTTTTAAAGAAATCCCTTGCTTTCAGTGGGATTGACACTTCCTCCTATACCTCCCATTCTTTTCGGATAGGAGCAGCTACCACGGCAGCGTGCATGGGTTTTAGTTCAGAGCTAATTCAGCACTTTGGTCGGTGGGGATCTGAGTGTTACAAAACTTACATACGCATTCCATTTTTCATATAATAATCTAATAGGCTCTCCAATTCATAAGTAACCTATTTGGGTTTATTGCGTATTGTCCATTCTCCTCCTGTGAGTGATCGCATGTTTCAGTGTGGCTGATCGGGTCCAGTTACCTAGCAAGAGTCCGTAGCCAGCGGGGCCATCGGCTTGACAGTGATAACATCCTCTGGCTGGCGAGGGGAGGGATGCGATGGGGAGAACTCCGGCAGGTGGTGGACCGACAAGTGGCCAGGACAACCGGCCACCCCAAGGCCCTTGTGATTCACCTAGGGTCGAATGACCTTGGCCAAGTCACCGCCTGCGAGCTTTTACATGAGATGGAGCTGTCGATGCTCCGGATCCGCCTGCTGCTCCCATAGACCACCATCATCTGGTCGGATATGCTTCCTCGCCGGTACTGGCACGTGGCCAGGTGCCCTACCAAGCTGGAAAGGACAAGAGCCAAACTCAACAGAAGGGCTGGTAACATGGTGCGAGGTGTTGGTGGTATACAGGTCCTCCATCCCCAGTTCAACGTCAGAGACAGGGACCGGTATGCCTTCGACAGTGTACACCTGTCACGGAGAGGCATTGACATTTTTATAAACAACATCGGTAAAACCCTGGACTCTTTCCTTAACTGAGAAGTATCAACTGCAACTGCAATATCTAAACGTTTTCACCTTTTCCTTACGTTATTTTCTTGTAGAGAAGCTGGTGGGTTTCTTCCTGTATGGCCTGTGTGTGGGGTAGCACTTTCGTGCTAGTGGCGGGGTGCTCGTGGGCTGCTGTTATATTTGGCTGCACGTCTAAATTTTGCACTGTTAGGGTCTTCTGCTTTACAGCAAGGATCAGGTTTATCCACTCTGTTTTACAGCAGGTGACTAGGATTTGCTTGGCAACGGTAGTTGCCCTGGCTCAATATTCTTTTCATTCGGTGCCTGGCAGCGGTAGCGCCATGGCAAGGGTTTCCTAGTAACGGTAGTTATTAGGGCAGCGGTATCTGCAGGTGCATGTTCATTACTACTAATTCAGCAGCACTGGAGCACCCCCACACTCTAGGCCATTTAACCCATATACGTCTTTATTATTTCTGCCTGTGGGCGAAGTATCTCCTGTTATAACAGACATCATAACATGTCATGTGTACAAGTATCACACCTGCCTGTCTGTGTTATCACAAAATGTGACACAGACCTGGTGCACGAGCCCTAAATCAATGCGTTTTGTTTATGGTGAATAGCCTAATTGGTGTTAAGTTCAAATTGCATTTGGTCAAGTTGCATGATCGAAGTTGTGTATTACGTATTGTCATTAGCAGACGGGCAGGCAGACACATTGGTGTCAATAAAACAGACATTGAGTTTTGTCTATGACAGAGGTATATCTATATCACAGTTAGAAATTCTGAAATGCTAAATAATGACGTTGCTTTTAAGTATCGAACTGAGAAAGTGACTCGGTAAGAAGTACGTGTGGTGAAATAGTCCAATGAAATTATATAAACAGTAAAATCAATAATCCTCTGCCATAACATATTAAAAGGTCCCGCCTGTGATATATCAGCAAAACATTAGAAAAAATAGCTCACATCAAAGCCTACTCCGAGTACTCACCGCCTCCGAAGGTTTTCCGTCTTGAAATGTTGAAAGCCTCACTGGTTGGCAATGAGCGAAATTAAAATTGAATCTCCAGTTCTAGAACAAAGAATAATAGCCTGGATCATTATGAGAAACGTGAAACAACTGATATTCTGCACTGAGGCGTTTTTGAATCATATTTAGGGCTTTCTTTACCTCCGTGACTGGGAGCCAAGATGGACTCATACGTTGGTCAAAGGTCACATACCACGCAAAAAAGTCGGAAAACTAGACTGCGGACTTTGTGTACCCCTCGGATAAGTGTAAATTGGCACGACTCCCACGGCCGAAAGCTATGATTACTCCGAGAGTGTTGGTTCGAATCCCGGATGGGACTCAACCCCAAAGTGTAGAATTAGTATTGCCGGGTATTGCAATCGAGACAATAATCAGCATTAACTTTTTGCCTCGTCGGTACTGAACTGTAAAAGTGAAATCACTCAACTAAAGTGACCATCGGCTCACTCGAGCAGAGCGGTCCTTATTGTCTTTCAGATACTGTAGAGCTCTGTGATCTGTTATTACTGTAAACATAAACGGAGTGTGCGTCAAATACACGTTTTATACCTGCCACAACTGCTAAACATTCCTTTTCAGCAATTCCATTCAATTATTTCTCTGTTTTAGATAGAACATCACTGCTGTAAGCAATGACTACGTCTCTGTTACTCTCATCTCTTTGACTCAATGTATGTTGAGCATTGCTAGAATTTTAGCCGTAGAATGTTTGCAGTTTTAATATATGGCTAAACTGCTAAAACATTCGCCAACAGCTGAAGGGATGATGTAAATCCAGCTTGGGTCCATACAGGTAGCAAATGTAATGTAAGTCCCCATGGTCCCTAGAATGGTGATCTACCTTCGGTTGCTGGCGATCTATAGCCCGATTTTATATTGCGTTGTTTTGAAATGATTTAGCATTTTACACTGAACTCAAACTAGTTTTAATTCATTTGTGATAATCTAGTCGTTACAGGTTTTTGAACGTGTATAAATATATTTATCACTCACTCACTCACTCGATTATTTACAGACCGCCGCCATATAGCTGGAATATTGCTGAGTGTAGTGTAAAACTAAACTCACTCACTCACTCTTCTAATTAAGCTAAATGAGTCTCAAAATCTGGCGAAAAACAAAAGACGTCATTCAAATAGCACATTGTCTTTTGCCAATTCAGTGTACGGAAGACATCATTAATTAGTCTCTGAAAATTCGCTGGAGCAGAGGCCATACGATTGAAGTGATAAGTACCACTTGCAGTCACAAATGCACTTTTAGGCTTACTTTCTTCATTTAAAGCTATTTGCATTATCCTGCAGCCAAATCAAACGTATAATATTTTGCGTGTGCCGAGCCCAAAACATCAAGAACACCTTCTGATCTTGGCATTGGGAAAACTACTGGGCAGGAGCATAAATTCACAACTCTAAAGTCAATGGCCATTCTCCACGATGGAGGCGAACCCTTAGCAGTTTTCTTGGGCATCATTACAACTGGAGAGGCCCACGGACTATCATAACCTGGTTCACTAACTCTTGAACTTGACTATCTATTTCTGCACGCATAGCAGGATTAGTAGGGTAAAAACGTTGCCTAACGGCGTGAGCATCTCCTGTATCAATATCATGCTGGATAGTATAATTTAGTCCAATTTCTGACAGATCAATAGCAAAACAATCACGATACTTAGCTAACAGTTGACCTAGCCTAACTCGTGGCTCCTGTGACAGAGTGGTTGCAGACAAGTCAATATTCAAGTTACGTAATCTCGCGTCTACTTCTGACTGAGAGGGGGTGTTTCTGAATGAGACGAGGGCTGTGACTGCACAGGCATAATTTCATCTGATGGTACAAAAGTGAACTTAGCAACTTCGTGGCCTCCTGGAATGTCCACAGCATGATCATTAGTGTTAATGATTTGGTACACACTTTTGCCTGGACTTGCTGAAACGAGGCAACGAGCTCCTAATAGGGGGATTTAGTTCACATATGCCTATCTGGTTAGATGGAGAACAATTCACGTAAACGGGGAAAATAATTTCAAACTGAGGGGGAACTATCCACCAACGAGCGAACCGGAATATATTCTGGTTATGTTGACATGAATTGATAAGGGGTCTCGCTGCTATTTGCCCATACAATAACTACTGTTAACCCGTTCTAAGGGGTTAAATTAAAGTGTACGATTTAAAATTCAAAATAGTACTCTTCTGTATAAAAAAATCATTCCTTAAAACATAGGTGATGCTAAATCTGCAACTACTTGAAAACGTTGTGTCATCCGAAATCACCAATAGTTCTAGGAAGTTCAACTTGTCCTGTCACTGGCACTATGGTTGAGCCTATGCCCTTGAGAGATAACACATCTGATTTCTGAATAGGGAATTCTTACCACAGACCTGAGTCATTGAACAGTCCAAGGGTTAAAACTAGGGGTGTCGCGATACGCGAATGTATCGATGTATCGATACATTCTTACTGACGATACGATACGCGATACATGCTTGCGTGTATCGATTCCTATTTCAAAACTTTGTCTTGATAGTAAAATTATACGAGACTGCTCCGATAAATAGATGTAGCTAGCTTTACTTAAAAAATAGGTTGGAAACTAACAGCTTTTGTGATTGGCTAGATTATTTTGATGGACCAATCAGCGAGCGCGTATGTTGCCGGAAAGGTCATGCTGTGATGCGGGAGTGACAAAACTGAAGTGAGTGCATGGATTTCTCAACTAGAGATTTCGAGACTCCCACTGGGAGTAAATTCAAGTCTCACGTGTGGAAACATTTCTGTTTCCCAGTCTATTATGAGGATGGCCAACGAAAAGTGAGTCGTGAAAAGACAATGTGTCATATTTGCAAGACATTGGTTGGATATAGTGGGAATACGACAAACATGCAAGTCCACCTCACTAGACATCACCCGACTGTCAAGATTGATTCTGAAAGGACACCACTCAAGAGAACGCTTGAACAGAGAACTTTGGGCTCCTTTTCACATTATGCTTTCAATTCCGAACGTCACAAGCTCATCACACGACAAATTGCGATGTTTATTGCTAGAGATCTGAGACCATGTTCAACAGTGGAGAATGATTCTTTCGTTGAACTGTTAAGAGTTCTAGAACCAAAATACAATGTGCCAGGGAGGACATATTTTACTGGAAAGGTTGTTCCTGAACTGTACAAGGAATGCAAGATGGAAGTGGAGAATGGTCTGAGAAAAGCAACAGCTGTTGCTATAACAACAGATGGGTGGACGTCAAGGGCCCCAGAGAGCTACATAACTGTCCCATGTCACTACATTTCAGGTGACTGGAAGTTAGTCAACAATGTTCTGCAAACCAATGCCATTTATGAATCTCACACTGGAGCCAATGTTGGAGAGATTCTGTCTGATGCCGTAAAGGAATGGAAACTGGAGAGATCTGAACCTGTTGTTTGTGTAACAGATAATGCTGCCAACATGACAGTCGCTGTAAAAGAGGCCGGGTTAAAACATGTGAAATGTTTTGCTCACACCATCAATCTTGCATCCCAAAAAGGTCTCAAAGTCGACACAGTGTTTAGAGTTCTGTCAAAAGTCAGGCGAATTGTCGGCTTCTTCCACCGTAGTTCTACTGCCACTGCCCTGCTGAGAGAAAAACAAAAAATGTTGCAACTGCCAGAGCATAAGTTGATCCAAGATGTCTGCACGAGGTGGAACAGCAGTTTTGATATGATTGATAGGTTCATTGAACAACAACCTGCTATCCTTGCTGTCCTGATGTCAAAACAGGTCCGAAAACCTGAAAAGGATCTTGGTTTGTCAGACACTGAGCTATGCAATGCTGAAGACCTTGTGGGAATCCTCAAACCCATGAAAACTATTACCACTATCCTGTGTGATGAGAAACACCCAACTATATCCCTGATATTCCCACTGAAGGAGAAAATCCTCAACATGACACAAGCAGCAGAGACTGACTCAGCTTTCATACGCAGTGTCAAGACTGCAATATCAGAAGATATATCCAAGCGATACATTGATGGGCAAGATCTGCTGCTTCAAGCGTCAGCTATGGATCCAAGGTTCCGTTCTCTGCCTCATGTTGATGATGCCAGACGACTTGCTGTATTTGGTGCCATTATTGCAAAGACTGCAGCTCTGGCTGATTCTGATTCTGGCAAGGTAATTTAACTTACAATTTAAACAATATAAATATTAAATCATCATTCCAAGAAACATGGTTTTTTGCTTTATTTGCCATTCTTATAATTTCGAATTTGTTGAAATGCATATATTATAGATTTTCTCAAAATCAACATCACCAAAAGAAAAAGTGAACCTGACAACCTCAAATCCTCGAATCTGAAGATTTCAACAAGTTACAAAAGTTAATTTGGTTTGTCAAATGTGAAGTATAATGATAAATGATAAAGCTACAGTCTAATGGTGTGGAACTTTTTATTTTTGTAGGTGGAGGTGAAAACTGAAATTGATGAAGCCAGTGGGTCCATGGAACCAGAGGATGGTCTGCCCCAACTTCCTGAGGCCAGTGATCTGAAACAAAGTGTGACACCAGATGTGAAGGAAGAAAACACCTCTGCAATGGATGACCTATTCGGTGATGTCTTTGTCACTCATGTGCAGACAGCTAAGTCCTCATATGCCAGAGTAGAGGAAGAGGTCAGCACCTACAAGGCTGAGGATTGTATTCCCCTCAATTCAGACCCATTACAGTGGTGGCAGGAAAATGAAGAGACATTTCCTTTGCTGTCCAAATTAGCAAGATGCATTTTGTGTGTGCCAGGAACATCTGTTCCAAGTGAGCGTGTATTTTCAACAGCAGGCGATATAGTCACAGCTCAGAGAGCTACACTGAGGCCTGAAAACGTCAACATGTTGATTTTCCTGAAGAAAAACCTCAAGAAGTGAAGTGATCAATGTGATGAATGATTACAATGTGTTGTGAATTATGATCCTGTTAACTGTTGCAGTACAAAATTCAAATAACTGTTGGTTGATTTTGTCAAATCTGACACTGGAGGCCTGGCTTAAGGCTGAATGTTTCATCATTAAATACTAATGATGATTATTTTTTTATTAGTTTATTTATCTGCTGTGATAACAGTTTATCATTTGTCACTTGTGACAATTTTGACTTGACTGACTTGCTGGGGCAATATATTCAGTTCTAAATTTATGTGCATTTATTTTATACTTGATGTGATGTGACGTAGGAAAATAGATGAAGAATACCAAAACAGAAACATTTGGAGATGGTGGTTATACTACTTTTTAATTTTTTAAAGTTAAGTTGGTTCATGTAAATTGTCATGAACATAAAGCATATTTATTATTTAACAACTGTTTTCCATTGAGTCAATTGACACTAAGCTGATTGCTTAGTATTGGGAAGTATTATTTTTCATTTTATGTGTTTTTGTGACACAGTATAAGATCAGTGATATTACTTGTGACTTATTCAAAGTTTATACTTAACAGTCTTGCTCCCAGTTGCTGGTACAGATCATTTTTTGAAACTGGAGACAACTGGAAGTGTTATTTCCACAGTTACCAAATTTACACTGATAATATTGATACATTTTATTTTATCATGAATCATGATGATAATGATGACAAGAATACCTGTCAAGTTGGGCATATTAAAGGGAACTTGTGACTTGAGTTGTTAGTTTTGCTTGTTACAAGAATTAATTAGTAAAGTATCTCTGATTTATATCCCTCTTTTAGCAGCCTTCCGCAAAATGGCGCGAAAATTATGTATCGCGATACGTATCGTATCGTGACCTTAAAATCGTGATACGTATCGTATCGTGAGGTTGGTGTATCGTGACACCCCTAGTTAAAACACTAACAGCAGCACCCGAATCTACTATTGAAGAAACTATTTGATCTCCCAAAAGGACATGAATTCTATGCCTATTGTCATTGTTAGGAGCGACGTATAAAACAGGAGCTTAAGGCTGGCTATAACCTGATAAAATAGGAATTGGCGATTCCTGCGGAAAAAAAAATATGGGGCCTATAGGTATGCTGTATACAGTGAGAACATTGCTTGTGCAGTCGTGAATTTAATTGCTATCCGCGCTGTGATATTTCTGCCTGACCTCGAGCATTACAAACACGTTGGAAATGTCCTACCTTCTGACAATATTGCCACTTTGAATTTTGTGCTGGACACCTACCAGAATGAGATAAATCATACTCAGCCCCACAGCGGTAACACTGGCGTGCCCGTGACATGGTCGTTCCTGGGGTGGAGTTTGGCCGAGTAGACTGGGGTGGACGTCGGTGCTGATTGTGTTGATCCGGATATGACTGTTGCTGAAACTGAGGTTGTTGTGGCTGCCACGGACGAACTGTTTGCTTTGTAGGGTGTCTAGTGAAGTTAGAGCGCTGATTCTGGCGATACTGACCGGTAATGCTGGTTAAGCGAGTTTTTCCGCGAGCAAATTAAAGCAATTTGCTCTCTCGGAGTATTTATTGCCAGCTTCATGCATATTCACAAACGTTTCCAAAAAGGGTCCAACGGTCTGTGGGATCGACATACTTCTCCTTAAACAATTTCTCAATCTTATCAAAAAGGAAAATATCTTCCTGTGACGATTCTATCAGATCTCTGAACCGTCGATATGCCGCGTCCATCAAAAAGAGTGGGAAATCTTTAATGTTCTGCGCATTAGTCCACTTTTTAAAATTGCCAAAATGAATACAACGGTCAAGCCACTATATCTACTGAACCGCATAAAAAACGCAAGTTTTTCAAAATGAATAAATATTCGACAGAACATTGTTAAATGTTATAGTGTAACTACATATTGGTTACCTTTGTTGTAAAAAAACAAATTTGTTTGTGTTCAGGTTCTGTTTGTGATTTCTCTTTGATATTGCACATCGCCAAAACGCAGCAACTGAATTGGCCGTGGGATGTGGTTGCAGAAATTTTTCATGAAAATCATGGTGCGCATTATGTCACGGACACATAGGGGTATAAAAATGCCCTCAAATCAGTTTGAAATCTCTCCCGACAAACGCCCACCAAGAATGCCAAGGTTAACTACGCAACAAAGGGAACAAGCCATCGGCCGTCTTGAAACTGGACAGAGTGTTGCAGATGTTGCCAATGCATTCCATGTGCACGTAACGACCATTTACCGTCTTCAGGAACGTTTTGCAGCTACACAGACCACGGCTGACCGCCAACGTCCTGGACGTCCGAGAATCACAACACCACGGCAAGATCGACTCATTCAACGTTCGCACATCGGGGATCGATTCTTATCTGCCAACGAGACTGCCCGACAGATTATTGCACGTCACAACCGGGCAATAAGCGGAGATACAGTTCAGAGCAGTCCACCTCCGTTGTCGTCGTCCAGCTCGACGTCCTATCCTCACACCGAGACATCGTCAGAATCGTCTGCAGTGGGCTACGTTGCATCGAAACTGGCGTCAACAACAGTGGAGACTGGTATTGTTCTCTGATGAAAGTCGGTTTTGCATTTATCATGCTGACGGCCGAGTTAAAATATGGCGAAGACGAGGTGAACGCTTTGCTGTCGAATGTGTAATGGAAGATGATGCATGGGGAGGTCCGAGCGTTATGGTATGGGCAGCGATTGGCCTGAATCAGAGATTAGGGCCAGTATTCTTCCAGAATATTGAGCCAGGTCGGGGAACTGGAGTCACTGACCACCGTTATATCGACCAGATCCTCCGACCCCAGGTTGTGCCATTTTTCGTCCGACACAAGCAACACATTTACCAGCAAGATTATGCCAGGCCCCACACTGTTAGAGTCACTCAGGCATTTTTCCAGCAGCATAACATCCGACTACTGCCATGGCCTGCTGTCAGTCCCGATTTAAACCCGATCGAACATTTTTGGGACAAGCTGCAGAGACGACTGAATGAAGTCCGACCACGTCCGACAACTGCAGCAGAACTCCAGGCAGCCATCATCCGGACATTTGCGGCAATCCCTAGGGCCTTTGCCAACCGTCTGATTCACTCCATGTTCAGGCGGTGCACAGCTGTAGTGAATGCACGAGGTGGACATACGCGCTACTGACTTGTTGGATCAATTTCGATTTTGTCTTCAATGCAAAGTAAACCAACAATGTTTCAATGCATTGACTGACATGTCCCGATCATCATGCAATAAGTGTTGATTGTTATTATGTACCTGTGTTCATGCATTATCTGTCAAAAGTAAAGTTTTTCTAAATCTGGATTTTGACTTGCGTTTCTTTTGCGGTTCAGTATAGTATGAGACGTTTCTCTACATGTGAAATGTTCTGACATTAAAGTGGAATCGCCCATATTGAAATCAGGGGCAGAATAAGAACTATTGACAAATGACAAACCTAAAGAGGAAAATGACAATTCTAAATCCTCCTGAGAAAAAGATAGGGAGAGGTCCGGAGGATGGGTGGGGTGTGTGTGTGAAAGACAGAAACGGCGGTAGTCTTATACCAAGGCCGTCCGGATTAGTACAATCGTTAGAAGTGATGGGTCGAGTTTTAACCGGCGTGTCACATGACGTAGATGTATCTGAATCGTTTCCACGAGACATTACAATTCCAAATGCCATAAGAGGAAAAACTGCAGATAACATATCCGAGCCCTAATAAAGGGAACCTACCGTCATCAGACGTCACCGCAAGCGAATGAAATTGTAGGAACGACCAGAAGAAAAACAGCAAAGGGGATCGTCTTAAACAAAATTTGTTCAAAAAAACCCCGCAGACTCCACTATGTCGTAAATGGCGTTAGTAAACCCTACAACAGTTACCTACTATTTGTGACCCGTTCCCACTGTCAGGGGGAGATGGCCCTCCACTCGCTTGGTCCGTGACTCCTAATTAACCACACTGCATTCATGCACTGGACACATACATTCATAGATAAACGCAACATCAAGTTTTATACTCACATACTTTATTCTCTAACTCAGTCCATCTCTCTAAATACAACTTCACCAACAGGCAGGGTAGGCTCATACCACACGGGGCAAGGGAATGGCGTGGACTGGCTTCACTTAAAAGCGCTCACCACTCGTCTTTTTATATGGTTCAAGCCTGAACTGATCTTGATCAACTCGTCGTTTTGATTCGTTAATCCTGTGTTCGTCCTAGCACTCATGAATTTTCGTATGATTGGAAATTATGGGTAAGTACCGTTCGGTCACTCTCCCCTTTTTGTTGAAGTGTTATTGTGTTCGGTCACTCACGTCGGATTCTAATGTAATTATCTACTGATTTAGGGATGCAGTTTTACCTTATAAAATATATCACATGGTAAGAACAGAGAACGAAACCTGGATGTACTGGGTGAATAAGTAACAGGCAATGTGAAGAGCGCACTCGCTATTCCCCTAAACCATTTTTGGTATCCCAGGCAGAGTTCTGTGACATGAGGAGGTTCAGATGCACGTTCAGACAGTCTGTAGCGAGGAGCCTGTCTTGTACACCGTACACCTGCGTCACATTGAGGACATCTGAGAAAGGATAAGCCAGATTTCCCACAGCGTCATTTCCACGGCGTAGAGGGATCTGGAAGTAGGAGATTTCTCACTAGGTGGTTCTGGTGATTACGTCATCTGTCATTTTCACTTGATAAAACTCTGATTAAATCGATGGTATTTTTCTTCTTCTGAAATCTACAATAGAGAAGATTGCATACGTGAAATGCTGAACTTTCTAATTGATAACATCTTTGTGAAATTTGGGGGTAAAACATTCCATCCCCATTGGCAAAGGGGGCACGCCCACCCCTGGATCTGCCTATGAATAACCATCAAATCGCCAATTGCCTTCCACTGATTTACCCACCTATACTTGAGGTGAGGTGAGGTGAGGTGAAATTGGATTTAACGTCGTGCTTGAGAATATTTTGCTCATATGACGACGTGCATGCGTGTGTATGTGTATGTGCGGCTGCTTGTACTAGCCCAGACTGAAGCTGGTTTTATAGTGCTAGCCCACTGAGGTACCATGCCGCAGTGAAGCATGAATACCCCACCCAGACACATTATACTGACTCCGAGCCGACCAGTCCGTGTTGTACCCATTAATGCCGAGCGCCAGGCAGGGACCAACAAGTACCATGTTTAACGTCTTTTGGTATGACGCGCTCGGGGATCGAACCCGCGACCTTCCGCTCTCCGGGCGGACGCTCTAACCACTACACCACGGAGGCGGTCCACCTATACTTGAAATTAAGGACACAAGTGAGACCGCCGTAACTGTTTCATATCCAGATCTGTGCATAAAGATTCAGAGTGACAAATGCTCTCCACTTGGCTGCATGAGGAAAGGGATGATTTCAACTTTCCAATAGTAAATTCCCGTTCATGTCGAGCCTGAACCAATAGCGCCAGGGGGCGGTGGGGTAGTCTAGTGGTTAAAGCCTTCGCTCGTCACGCCGACGACCCGGGTTCGATTCCCCACAAGGGTACAATGTGTGAAGCCAATGTCTGGTGTCCACCGCCGTGATATTGCTGAAATATTGCTTAAAGCAGCTTAAAACCAAACTCACTCAACCTAACAGTGCCAGCCTTTGGTGTTTCACAAGTTTTGAGATACAATCGAGCGTGCTCTAATTATCAATATTTCAAAGAGCGTCGTGACACTCTTACTCAGAAGTTGTTTGATCAAGGTTACAACATTCAAGGCCTCAGTAAATATTTCAAGAAGTTTTATGGTAGACATGTGGAGGAAATTTCAAAATTTGAAGCATCAGTGACATAAAGATGACCGATGGGGTAGTCTAGTGGTTAAAGCCTTCGCTCGTCGGTAACACATGCTCTGTCATCGTATCGCATTGTGAGAATCACTGGATTGTCTGTTTCAGACCCGATTTGTTTACAAACAGCATCTTACAGCTGTAATACTGCTGAAACAAATATCTGCTCATGATGTAGTCACAATTGTACAATCGACTCTGCTTTTGGCAGAGATTTCTTATGAAAGTGGAAAGGGTTTTGTCGCTTCTATTTGACTGGTAATGAAATCAGATTGCGTTTTATAGAACGGTTGAAGAATTTCCTCCCGAATTTTTATTACCTTTGACTGGTTGGGTTTCATCGAGCTCAATGCTCAAATACTGATACTCCAATATGTAATATGTGCAAACATTCAAGTTTTGATCGTGACCACTTGTACAATTTAAGCTCAAACTCATATCGATCGTTCCCATTTTCGATTGTTCCCAAATTAAACAGCCTTTAGGTTATACCCACTTGGGTTCAATCAAGGCACGATTAAGTCGATATTGGCCAATACACGTGTCTAGGGATGTTTATTCGTAGACTATACGCTCGTTTTATCGTTGGTTAAATTTGTCATATTCACCAACATCTGAAGAGACTATGGAGGCAGCAAAAGCACAGCAAGGAACCCTGCAGGGAGTAAAAACACTGTAAGTCACTATGGTCCCATGTATGGTGATCTACCTTCAGTTGTGGGCGACCATAGCCAGCTTGTGATACTTAAGTTCTTTTTACAGTCCTCTGGTGACTTGATTTTTAACAACATTTCTCGTCACTATATGTATGAAACATTGCTGAGGTGACATTAAATTTTTAACTCTCTCACTCAATCTCTGGTTGCTGCTCTTCATTCATATATGAATAAGGTCTGTTTTTCAATCCAACCAAAAATAAAAAAAGCAATGTTAGTCTAGGTAAGACCTTAGGATAGGTAACCACTGATTGTGTAAATATATGTAAAGCATTAATATGTAAAGTACTCAAATGAAATGACGTTACATAATATTTCTTACAGGTAATAATCTGCAAAAATGTTGGAAAAGCAAAGTCTGATTTGGTAGAAAAATCACGTTACCTACATATACCATTAAATATGTCACTGTTTCCACAAATGAACATATTAGTGAATGATATCCTAAGTTCAAGTGCAAAGGGCCACGATATATACGTGTGCTACATCTGAACATTTTCTGTGCTGTTTTTACGAAGATATCACAAAAAGTAAATTTTAACTCCAAGATGTTATCTACAAGTACAAACAACTGATCACATTCAAATAGATTGGTGGACTGACAAGAAGTCATCATAGATTAGACCAGGCAACATCTTGGTGGTTAGTATGTGTATTTTACATTTTCTGCAAGAATGTTATATGAATAAACCCATGTCACAATAACATAGGATGCATATGACACCTGTTACAACTAACCAACTTTAATTTTAGTGAGGTTTGAAGTCGTCTTATTGTAAAAAAGGCCTCAGCCTGCAAGTGGAATTGACATGGGGGCTCAAATTGGTAAGACATGGTGTCCCACTGGGATTTCCCCGGTAGTGGCTCACGGCATTTGTAGATAACATGTATTCGTTGTTAATAAAATGAAATAGAGAACACAATACGCTGCTATAACATAATTTATACTGAAGACAATTATTGCAGATCATAAAACTGATTAGGTACGCAGTACTGCCTATTAATAGATTGAAATGGTTCCTTGGAATTCCAAATGGCTACATAACTGAGCGTTCAATAAAACTGTTCTACTCAGGGATGCGCTGCAGTTCGTGGTTTGGACTTTATTATAGTGATATATAATGAATTCGTTTTGATTAAAATGTCAGAAAACAAGTTGATCTTGGTGATAAAAGTAAAAGTTTGCATGATATCACGGGATAAACGGTAGATTCGTATGTAACATGTGTATTCGTTGGTAACATTCCGAATTTGTAGGTAACATCAGTCAGTGTGTTTGAAGTTGTATGTCTTGTTCAGGGCTGTCACCGATGCACTTGCGAACATAGGAGAATTGAGACTGTAGTAGAAGTAAGTTGCATGGGTTTAGTAATTAGATTTGTCAAAGGTATGTCTTATTCGTAGGTAGCTCGTTTTTGTAGTTAAAACTTTATGTAAATGTTTATCTAATAGCAATTGTCATTGCAAAATATGAGTAATTAAAGCAGAGTTATAGTTCAGTAAGACGTATAATGTATTGATTGTTTTAGTGACATGTTTATCTGTACATAATGGTATATGATATATAGTAACAGTTCAAGCGTTTTGAACATTTGTGATGTGCTTTCTTTGAATACAAATGTCAGTTGAAACATTTGGTAAATAAAATTTCAGATGTAATGATTGTAGTTCAATTTCTATACATCTCATCAACAGTTTAGACTCACTAGTGTAAATATAGCCGCTTACTTCAGACGACTGTTTTAAACTAATTTTTGCAAAATATTCCATACTGGTACTGTTTACACATGAACTGATGTATTGTAAAACAAATTCGTAACGTTGAAAAGATTGTCATGAGTTCAATAAATGATAAAAATCAGTGAAAATTGGCGAATTCTGAACAAAACTTTACACCAAAACGCAGCTGTTTACATGTACGATATTTGCACATGCTTTTCAACAATTTGATGCATGTTCCTCGTGCAATTCATCTGCATAAGGTTTGCAGTTGGTTCCCCCAAGTTAGTGGAGAAATCAGTCTCCGATGTGACCATATATATATATATAACATATAGTGAGTGTTTCTACTGAGTCTAAACTTTTGATGAGAATTGTATTTCCATCAGTTAAAATGATATTGCTACTTTCCGACTTACACTGAGACAAAACAAAGAGAAAGCCTTAAACTGGTTGTAAACAATCTCCATTCACATGTCCTATGCATTTAGAAAACAATTTCCAAACTGTTCGATGTTTTAATAAACCAGCTACGATTTAGTTTGACATATATAAACATATACGAAATATAATGAATTATGTGATATTTGTTAGCTACAAGTACATTTCTTCCACCCAAAGTTTAGTTATTGATGCATTTTCAAATTTGTTGTACTTACCGAACGTTCAACCCGTTGTCTCTCAGATGAATAAGATAGATATGTAATTATGATTTGTTTGTGAAAAGAACACTAAGTGGTGCTATCTCACTTACATCAAACAAGGTACCAAAATGGTTATATTTTCGTAAAGCTTGAGGTTATAAAACATGAAAGAAATCATGATATGGCTTCAGAGTTTCTATAGTCATTAACATATTGTGCATGCAAAACAACAGTGAATTTGGATGTCAGGCAACATATAACTAATCTAATCACAGGATATGCAAGGTATAATGTTGGTATTTGTAGGTAATTTAGCAAATTAGCCTCCAACTTCACTGATCCACCAGCTTGTCACTTTTAGAGATTAGTGATGGCAACTGATTTTCATAAGAGGCAAATATGTTGACTTTACATTGGTAAAAAGAATTACAAGGTGCAAGCAATTCTATTTTGGACACCTTGTACCCAGCTGTGTACACTTTTCGTTGGAATCGACCATATATGACTATAATAATCAATCAAAATGTGCTTCAAGGACTACAGAAGCTTCATCATCCACTCCATCTCCCAGTCGAATATTTTCTGTCGAGCCTCATTCCTGTGTTGACTCCTTGCAAGGCTTCTCTTCCTCCGGGAGTGACTCAGTTGGTGAAATGTGAAGGGTGATATTGCGAATCTGCTGTGATCGGAACACGTCTCACCTGCCCACACGTCCAGGTTGCGCTGGACGTCAGCCTTTATCAGATCAATGTCAAGGTCATCATAGACATGGAACTCGACTTCAGATACGTTCTTGTTGTAGACCATGAGGACCTTCAAGAGATGTACACGTGAGAAATCGTAAACTCCATTGTACAGTATGCTAGAAACATCACTGTACATGGTTACTGATACAGTTTTTCTTAAAATCTATTGGCAAACACATGATGGAAAAACTAATTGACGCTACTGTTATGGTGCATTCTACAGTAGATCATGTCCCATGATCTGCGTTGGTATAATATACTAAGCAGCAAAGAAACGTCAGTTTGGAACTCATTTCATGTTTTGATTATATATTTTAGACAACATCTCCAACTTTACCTGAGATAAAACGTTCTTTCCCAAACTCAGAATTGAACCCAGGAAATGGTCTCAACAATGGTTCACAAGGTCCAGCCCTATAAAATGCACCCCCAAACCTGGTTGAAACATTCACATAACAACGTCAGCAGGATGCCGCAACTCACGACAGCTCAGAGGAACCAGGCGCTAGGAAGACTTGAAGCTGGCCACCCTGCACAAGCCGTTGCCAATCACTTCCAGGTCAACGTTCGGACCATCTACGGGCTGCAGCAACGTTTCCGGACCACCAACATCACAAATGATCGCCCCCGTACTGGCAGACCAAGGTTGATCACAAGGTGACAAGACGGCCATATTGTGCGACAGCATGTACAGAATCCCTTCATGCAGGCATCTGAAACAGCACGCCAGACAGTGGGAACACACGGAAGGCCAATCAGTACTGATACAGTACGCCGACGTCTTAACAGCGGGAACCTCCATTGCCGTAGACCTTACCGTGGACCTATCCTCACCCCTCGTCATCGGCTTGAACGTCTACAGTTTGCCCAAAAACTGGCGATACATGCAATGGAGAACTGTTCTGTTCACAGATGAGAGTCGGTACTGCGTATCAACTGCAGATGGCAGAACAAGAAATGGCGACGACGTGGCCAGCGTTACTCAGACCAAGGTGTTATGGAATGAGAGTCATGGGGAGGTGCAAGCATCATGGTATGGGGATGAATAGGCCTGAACCAGTGGGTCCTGTGGTGTTCCAGAACCTTGGTCCAGGGAGAGGAGGTGGCATCACAGCGGTGTGCTACATCGACCAAACTCTCAGACCCCACGTCATACCACATTTCGCACGTCACCGGAACAACATTTTCCATCATGATAACGCCCAGGCCCATACTGCCAGCGCTACTTCAGCAGAACGGTGTCAACATTATGCAGTGATCAGCTCCTAGTCCTGATTTAAACCCTATTGAACGTCTTTGGGATGACATTCAGAGGAGACTGAATAATGTCATACCAAGACCGAACACAGCCGATTAATTGCGCCAGGGCTTTCTCAATGGCCTTCATCAATCAATTGGTGCACTCCATGCATAGACGCTGTGCTGCAGTTATTGCCGCTCGTGGTGGTCACTCTAGATATTGAAGTCAAGCGTCTGAATGGACTGCAAACGTTCACGTAATGCCTTGCAATTGTGCTGAGTTATTCATTGATGTGTCAAGATATTGTACACAAAAAATGTTTTTGATCCGCTTATTATGTCCATTTCTGTAATGATTTGATTACAGTGCCTATATAATTTTGAATTCGTACTGACGTTCATTTTGCTGCTGAGTATATTTTACGGTCAGCACATGATCCCAAATTAATGTTTAGCAACTACATTTACTAATTTACAATTAAAGGTGCACTAAGTTTCTTCGCATGTTCTTAATGTGAAGCCAGGACGTCAAACTATACAACAACGCCTGCAACATGGACAGGAACCTTCAGGGAAGCTCATATTATATTTATCTGCACTTGGACATACACTTCGGTCATGTCTTGAAATTATTGTTGGTAAATATTGTCTTATAATGAACATTAGAAAAAGTAAATGCATATCGTATATTTCATTATACAAACTTGACTATTTGTTAATTTGTGATAAATGTGTTTTACAGTGTTGTCTACGCGTGATTACCTTCAGAATTCCTTTCAAGCTCTTCACATCTTCCTGGTGATCTATGTAGATTCGAACCCTGCCCGCAGACCTGTAGGCCATCTCCTGCTCAACCAGTTCCATCAATGGCATCGGATTCTTCTCGGAGCTGAACATCAAAACCTCAATACTGCCTGAAGGCTCTGTTGGATAACGTGACGTCATCAACGGCACTGGAACCAAGCGATATCAGAAGTTAGTTAATGATATGTAAATCTTTTATCAATAATGTTCATGCAGGCAACAATTGCATGGCATAATTCATTGAATTCTAATTATTAAATATGGATTCATTTGAGGAAAACGTTTCCATGTATCCTGGTGGAGTTTCCAAATGAAACAACAAAAAATATGTTCATCCAAGCACAATCATTATTTATCCACAAGACTTTGTCACAACAGGGGCGACATCCACCTCAAGGCCTTACTACATCTCTCAAAAGGGTTTACAGTAGACATGTGAAAGTCGTCTTCCCGTGTATTACGTTGAGTGAACAATAAACTTGCCTTTGCAGGCTGGTACCAGGTGCCATGACTATCTGGTACTGATGCACATTCATGCTCACCAAATAGTTGGAATCAAACAATCGAGATTTTTACTATTATGGACAATGTTCAGTCGCTTCTATTTAGCATACATATACACATGTTTGGGTAAAAAGAAATCTCACTTAACAAAGAGTACAGCTGAATGTTTTCAACACAGATGTTGCCGTCATGGCAGGCGAGGGAGTGGACGCTGGACTCTGCCGTCTCGGTGTCAAAGAAGGTTGCCCGGTCTGTCAGATCAGGGTATGCTCTGGTTGCTCGGTTGATAAACTTGTCCACAACCACTGAACATGCTTTCACTTTCTCATCCCACAGATGACCTGGAAGGTAAACGCGTGGCAAATAGTTCAATTTATCAGAACAAATTACCAAAGGAGGTTTACTTCTTAGAAACGACACAAGTTTGTTGAAGCCTGTGAATGTAAAACCAACCACAAAACTAAAATACATGGAGATGACTAGAAATCAACTGCATACTTGTTTTTTATATGTTGACAAAAATAAACACATTAAGATTTTTGAATTTACATTTTGCAATAGAGAAATCAATCAGCAGATAACTACTGGTATTATTTGGTCTCGGACTTTTCACTCCATCATCATAACTGAGCTAAGACATTAGCTACCTGTCGCCGGACATCCCCCGCATAACTCAACAAGACATTTCTCTATGTCCGGATTGAGGTCCAGTCTGGGCAGACGACCAAATCCAGCAGCTGAAGTCATTCGCTCCTGCAACTTTCTAGCCTCCTCCTTGCGGAATGATAAGGTTTGTTTGCAGAATACTGGCTGCTCAGCCTTCGAGCATAGCCTGAAGAAACATTCCAATGGCTATTAACACTCTGAAAATATGGCATTTAAATACCGTTTCAAGTAAACACGAGATATGCATTTCATCTCAAGGCAACTACTCTTTACACAGAGAATGTTCCAGTCCTCTAGGTTGCCACAATTCACTGTACGCTGTTGTACAACTCAGGTATATCGCAATCATTTATCGTGATTTCAAATCCTGAATTGATCCCCTTGATGCTTCCACATTATTTTGATGACATGACATGGCTTACAATGTATTGAAAGCAAGGGCGAATGGGTAATAAGTGTACTACATTTCTAATATGCTGCGGCCAATATCACATGAAATGATTCCGTCTTACATACCCATTTTGATGAAACTGGAAGGTGAGGTATTGTTTCGCACTACCTAGAGGATGAATATCGCAGATCCCATTGTCAAAAGGATGAATAACAGGACCACCTTAGAAAACAATAGCTTGAACATATTAATTATGCAACATGAGATGATATGATCACAATATTCGAAAGTATTTAAACGTTAGTGCAAAAGAACACTCAGTCTTGGCCATCCTCAAAATCCATTCCATTTGGTTTAAAGGGAAAAATAGCCTCGCACAATATATGAGTGGACCAGGAATATCAGTAATGACACCCAGTGTTTTCAAAACTGTCCCACCCTTTCGGGTTCACTTTTAGACCTATATTTGTAACGTGATACTATTACAGAATCATAACACCAGGCAGTATCTCACCCTGAAGTAACTCCTCTTGTATGTCCAATATCTGCCTGTAGTAGGTAGTGTTCCCAGTGTTCCACAGTGTGATGTAGTTCAGTTCATTGCCAACTTGAAGAGGTCTGATATCCACATACAGTCGATTCTGGTGACACCCTACACCTAAACCCCTCATCTGCTGTCTAAGAAAGGGCGTACAGGATCTGAACAACGTTTTAGCCAAATAAACTAATTCGGAATTATGTCGATACCGAGGTGGCCTCAACTCCACGGCCTGTCCTGTTTGGAATCTATACATTTCCTCCACATGCCTAATGTCAAAATTCACCATGTTTACGGACTGTGTACGATACCCAGAACCTTGTACAATTTCTACTTTATCACCATATTCCTCGGAAATTAGATCAAGACACATGAGCAGTGATGAGTCAACCCGCAAATAATGTCTGTTTGGACAGCTCATATCTTGGATGGTGTAATATTCAGAGAGATAGGTCTCTTTGTCAAAGCCGGGAAAAAGGTTTGGCAATATTGCTTCATGTTCTAGAGATTCAGGGTACATGTATTCTGTTTGTTCATTTGGAGGAGGGCCAACTGCAAGCCTAGCAATGGCGTCATGAGAAAACTCTACCCGTATTCCAATGAAATCTTCCTGACTCTTGACAAACACTTCGATAAATTGGGGGCTTGAAAAGTTCATGAAATCGAAACCGGAACATGCAGCCAAAACAGCCAACCTATTTAAACTTGAAATCGGCGAACTTGTGAGACGCATCCCTCTGAAATTATATTACATATCACTGTTCAATAACCGAATTCATTTAACTATACAAGGGTTCATGCAGGGAGCAAAAGTACTGAAAGTCCCCATGGCCCCTAGTGTGATGATCTACCGTCAGTTGCTTGCGATCTACAGCCTGTGTTTTTTCTTAACTGTTCTGATTGAAATCCAATTTTAGAGATTGGAGTCTCGATATGGCTGAAATACTGCCGATGTGACTATAACTCACTCGCGTATTAGGATATGTTTTCGTATTTCTGGAAGCTAAGGATGTACTGATTGTTTCACATTTTTTAGAACTAGCAGACTATTCACATAAACATTGACGAACTCAATGATCTACCCATTATTCAAGCCTCATATTCTGTACCACACATCCTTAGAATAGTTTAGTTTTCAAATACAATGTCTCACTGTCTTAACTTTAAACTGATATACCGAAATGGATTGAGAAGTGAGAGGAGGTGATTTTTTTAAGCGTATGAATGATCATAGTGCTTGTGTATACTTAGCACTGAGTAAATAATTAACATTGGACCTTGGACATGAAGTTCCTGCAAATTCTATTATTTAGCAGATGAAGTAGTTCATGGAAAACAAAAACTAAATACCTTCCTTCTCTGTAATGCAGTAGCATGTCTGACTGCTCAGCAAATGCTCTTTCAACGTTCACGCCTACAATACAAACACAGAACATACATATATTTCTACAGTAATATTCCATTAATTTCTCTTCCTGCTTCACATTTCAAATATAATATCAAAAACTTATCAATTTAGTTTTGTGATACCCAGTCTTCTGAAGTATGTCCAAGCAGTGAACATCCGGGTTAGAATTGGTCTTCAATGATGTATATATCGCCATCATATAACTGGCATATTGAGAGAGGCATTAAGCAATGAACACGTCGTATATGGGAAATCAAAAGTTGTTATAACTGTATGACTGTACCTATGTCTTCTGCGTGTGCTAGTTTAGCGAGTTGTCGTAGTTTGAGTGCCATCCTGGGAGTCATTAGCCGAGTGCTGCAGTATGACCAAGGTTCTGTTTGGTTCATGGAGGGTAGACATGGTGTTCTACATCTTCGGGTGGAGAATCCACACACACTGCTGGAGGTTCCCTCAGGCCTGAACACAACATCACTTTTGTCGTAGTGATACAGCCTAGAACAGAACATCTGAATTATTGGTATTTAAAAAAGATTCCATGTGTACATTTTAAGCATGGGGAGGTCTCCTTAAGAGAGAAGCTCTGCAGTATCGGATTTCACACCTTTGCATATCTTCAGAATTCAATCTGCTCAGAACACCTTGAGGTGGTCCACATGCCTCATCCACGCCTTCTCCGGATGGTATGGTGTCGCCTACATTCAGAGTAGGGGCCTCTTTCGCACACCTTTGGAATCTATCGTCATCACCTGTGAGATATTAAAAATACAAACATTAAAACAATACAAATAATTGTAATGTTGTGTCTCATAATGTGTGGACACATTATTATATGGCATGAGATATGTTTACTTTGTAACATCGTTGTTGGTAGGTTTGTTGTTTAACGCTGCACTCAGCAATATTCCATCTTTATGGCTGCGGTTTGTGAATAATCGAGTCTCAACCAGACAATCCAGTGACCAACAGCATGAGCATCGGGTAAGAGGCGTCTAACAGGATCGGGTGGACTTCGTTGACACATGTCACCGTATCCCAGTTGTGTGGATCGATGATTATGCTGTTGATCACCGAATTGTCTGGCTGAGACTTGAGTGCGACGTTAAACAACAACCAACCAACAACGTTGTTACAAAGTAAACATATCTCATGCCATGCAATAATGTGTTGAACCAACCATCAAACGAATTCCAGAGGACAAACGGCAAAAAAAAGACGAAAATATTTTATTTCTTTTTAAAAAACAAATATCAGTAATGACTTGCATCAACCTTTACCATCGTCAGCTATAAGTTCTTCAAACATTGCTCTTTCAGTACTCATGGTCATCACACCATCCTTCTTGATCGCAACGTGGACAACAGCGAGCTCTCTGTTGATGCTGACATAGTCGAATCCAGAACAGACGCACTGGGAGCCCAGTCTGTCAAAGATCGTGTTGTCAACGGTGTTGGCGGCTATAGGAAAATACAACAATGGTATTCACACTTTAGATATGGATTGTGAGACAGTGGTAAACCTCAAACACATAACACTAAAACAAAACATACATTCGCGTAATCCTGGGACAAAATATTTATGCAGTGCCGTTTCCATATAATGTTTCTAAGGAAACTCACGTTCTTACTGTTACTTGATTCCTAATCTCGCACATAGTAGTTGCCGATATCGTGGCAAAATGATGTCTCAAGATTCAGTTCACTTATACCAATGACATGATCCAGAAAAGGTAAGGAACCCTTACTGCCCTTGGGCAAGCTCATGACTGCATCCACTATCAGATCCTGAAGCACTTACCAGAACTATGTTTAGAAATTCTTCTATTCATATTTGATGAAATCCGGGCATATAGTCACTTTCCACCTTAATGGTGTAAAGTAATTGTTGTTCCTATACGGAAACCTGATCCGGATTACACTCGGATGCACTTAGTCCATCTTATCTGCCAGGCATGTATACCTTATCTATACACAGTATAACACTGGCTACATATTTCTATGTGAAAATGGTCCAGGATCGTTGCATAATGTTTATTCTCTTTTAATATTATGCTTTTTAAAAGAGATAGAATTAATCCATATTTTTTATACATATAGTTTTTACAAAACAGTAGTATATGATCGTTAACTGAGGTTATTTGTAGCCAGGCCTTTGATGGGGGTTGAGGTACTGTGAAATATTGTCCCCCCTTAGAGGGTATGTAAACACACATCATTCATAGAATAGTTGTGTACATCACAGAATTTAATCGCTGTATACATGTGGATGTTACACACGTGGCTAACCTTACATTAGTCGCTAACAGCAGAAGGGATGGTTTAAATCCAGTTAGAGTCCATGAAGGTAGCAAAAGAAGGGATCCATGCAAATGGACTGTAGCTCCCATGGTCTCTAGTGTGGTGATCAACCTTTAGTCGTTTGCGATCTATAGCCCGTTTGTACATTGTATTGTTAGTTAAAGTAAGATAGTTTTATGGTTACTTACTAGGTTTCAGAGAAATTCTGTGATATCTAGTAATTTTACTGTGTTTCATTGACATGTATTTATTGTAAAGTTGGCCCTATTAACAGATAGCTTTAGTAGTGAGGATATGGCTGAAATATTGCCGATGTGACGTTTAGGAGATAAACATCATGTGTTAGCTGTGTTAGCTAATTTCCGGGTGTTATTAAGTATTTAAAGCACGGGAATTCATTTGGAACCGACGGCATTAGCCGGAGGTTTCAAATGAAATATTCACGTGCTTCAAATGCCCAAAAACACTCGGAAAGTGGCCAACACATGATGTTTATCGACATTGTAAACACAAAAATAAACCAAAAGGTCCACACACGTTTTTGTGTCTGCACTCACTGACATCGGGTACGGGTACAGCAGTGAAGTGTCATCAGATGGCTGTTTCGGCTGTTTCCCATGGTAGCATCTGGAACTGCTCATTTGTGACGTCATTACGTCACAATATGATTTGAATGACGCCGCCACTGCTGACGACGCAACAATACAATTGTGTGCGATATTTGTACGTGTCAATACGCAGTGAACAGTCTTGACATTTCCGGGAATCAAATACCATTCGATCATGTTTTTCAATCAATCAGATTAAAGAACACGGTGACTTTGGGTTTACAATCAATGTTAACGTACTCTTGTCAAAACCTTTGACCATTAAATTATATTCCTTGAGAGAAGATCGCTGGAGAATACAGAAAAAATATAGTCATGCGTTTGGTGCCCAAACAAAATTATAGCAATGTCCGGTATGGCATTTACGAAGACATACCTGGAACTCCTGACAAGGTTACAACAGCAGCTCTGCCTTCATAGTGGAGTGAACTGTTTCCATGGTGACCATCAGGAAAGGCTGGGCTTGGTTCATCCCAGGCCGCAAGTACTACGAGTGTTGCTATGGGAGACACTGACTAGTTATATCACACACATGGCATCAGTTCCAACTCATGTTATTACAAATTCCTAATGATACGTTTTCGACTGAAACATTTGGATTTCAAACATATTTCAGAAGGGAATGTAGGAAAAAACATATTTTAAAAAGTGTAAAATCATGTTGCAGAGCAACTATATATTACTGTTACAGATAGTTAAGGTGTTTGTACACACAAAACAAACAAAAAGTAAACATGATTTACTGAAATATACAATCCAACCCCTGTTTTAACTGTTACGAGAAAACCACATACATACCGTTTGCCCACTCTGTTTTGACCAAGTGACTCAGTTTAGTGATTGCACGGGCAAGACGAGGTATCACATATCTACTAGCACAGATGCTTGTTGAATGGTTGTTGCATAATGAACATGTTGATGGCGTCAGTTCACAAAGTTCACTTTCCTCAGCAGCAAACACAATGTCCGTTCCTTCCAAAACCTCGAACCTACAACGGAATGAACAGTTCTTGAACAGAAATACCAGAAATGTTTATTCTTCAGCAACCGATGTTATTAACGCGAGTCCAACGAGACGAATTACAAATGATTCACATATGGCATAGGTAATAGCATACGATGAAGAAAAACATGAAATGACTGGTTTTTCTTAATCGATTATACTGAGTAGAGAACGTCAACTTACTTGTTGAAGAGACTGCTGCCCCGTACAACCCCGTCAGTCATTCCGCCACACACCTGGTCCTGTGTGAGTGGAGGCCCAAGTTCTGCAGGGCCGTCACAATGGGCCAAACATGTCAGGGACAGGCTGGACTCTGTGAGTGTCTCTCTTTTCGTGATCTTCGGATTTAACATAACATCCCTGAAACAAATACCTTTACTTTGACAGACTAGTAATGCAAGCTGATGTCACAACATAACACTAAGTCTCAAAGTGTCATTTCCGAAATAACATGGGAATCGTGCTGAGTGTATCGTCCTATTCAATATGACTTTCGTATATCAACACGTTTCATGCTTACCATATGTTCAATCCAAATGCTTGAACGGAAAGAACTGACTTTTCAACAGAGAATAATCCATCTACTGCAAGTGCCGCTTCTGTGCATACTTTAAGTCCAGTAATGACTGATTCCATTTTCATGCTTGGCTTTACTCTGTAAATCCAAAGTCAATACTGTATTAACTGTGTTAACGTGTTGTACATATTGTAGCCTACACGTCTTGTTCGGTGACTTGACAAGTGTCAAAATATAAAGTGGTTGGTAGTCTACACTAAGATTACGGCATTACTCACTCATCAATAATTGTTTGATTATTTCATTACTAGTTTTCTCATTACATGGTCGATAAATGTAATTAGATTCTGTATTCTAGCAGGTGAACGAACAGACACATCACAACACGCTATACATACGTACATTATTTCCATTGGCGGGTACAGGTTGATGGTTATGTCCTTTACTTTCCAGGAAACAGAGGCATTGAAAAAAATCTGGAAAATGACAGCATGTTGTTTAGACACAAGCCTCTCAGCGGTCGAAGTTACTGTTTTTCATTATATGTTTAATGCAATATTAAAAATATGTGTATACCTACACTTTTGGTTTGGATGCCTGAGTCCTGAAATTCGTCGTTCAAGGACATAGGATGAATAAAAGTTGAACGGGACTGGATAGTGGCACACCACAGCATAGTGAATTATTTCCCCTTTCAAGCGTTGGGACTTAAAGGTAATGTCTGTTATTTGATACCGTTGCATTCAAAATGCGTTAACCAGGCACGTTATTGAGGGTATTTTGAACCGGTGATATAACAGTTAGTTACACTGACTAAATTAGGAGTGTTCTTCTGACGGAACTCTTGAAATCTGAGTTACAATGCTGCTAACACAAAAGGCAATAATGATAAACAGATTTCTGTAATGTCTGAGCTCGATATTGGCAGGTATGGATACGTGATCACGGCCTTGATTTTTGACATAACATAAGTAAATCTCTCATGTAGTCTATTGTTAGGGAAATTGCAACGTGCGAACCCTACTCCTTTAACCATTGGCCGTCCAAGGCAAGTGGTTCATGAACGTTAACACAAATCAACTATTAATGCATTCAACTACTACCTTCTGGAACACATCTACGGTGACGTTGAATGTGTCAGGAACAGCCATCTCTACTGTGTCCTGTCCATCCGATGTCCAGGCGTGAGATGTGATGTCTCCGTGCAACGATGATGATGCATCAAACTGCTGCGCTACAATGCAATGAAATTATTAATACAGCTGACTGGTGCCGATGCAGATCTTGAAGATAGACAAATGTTCCAACAGTACACCATACTAGCAAACTACCAAACAAACAAACAACATAATCAAAGATAACGTTGACATATTTTTTTAACCATAGACGTAGCATAAAGTTTCTTATCAGAATCCATATGGCTTATATGCGGCATAAGATCTTTCTACATACTGTATATCTATTCACGTAGAGCTTTAAATAAATATATTGATAAATGTCTCAGGAATAGTATTGTAAAACGGAAAACTTCAGGAACGAAATCTATCAAGTAAAACGCAAATATTATGGATGACAACTTCTTCTTTATTGTATGTCACAACGTTTCTGGGCTATTCCTTGCCCCTTCGTCAGGTGAAGTCCCTTGGAGTATGGAGTAGCCCAGAAAAGTTGTGACATACTATAAAGAAGAAGTTGTCATCCATAATATTTGCGTTTTACTTGAACACCAACTTCTAAATGCCTCTAAAGTCCCGAAATCTGTCAGTTCCAATTAAGGTTGTTCATACTATGACAAAACTAAATGTGAAATACTTCTAAATGGAGGTAGTCTATCGCCTCTATTGTCGTGTCATAACGAAAGACTACGAAATGTAGTATCTGAATGTTGTAAGTATCACAATGTCGACACCGCATATTACAATATAGATCTATATGTCTACATCCCTTTCCTCACATTAGTCCACAAATACTCTCAGATGATTTCACGGGGTAGTAAAGACGTTAATCTAAACAGTAAACTGCACATATACTCACATATTGTATATCTGCCACTTGCTCTGAACCCTGTTCTGCCTCTACCAGAGCCTCCGGAGTAACCAAAGACGCTTGCCAGAGCTTGTGTGTTGTAAGCTAGAGATAGCTCCACTGGAGGTAATTGCCTGACTGCAGCCACGGGTATACGGATGAGTTCGATCGGCCCAGTTTCCCACAGGGGGGTTGTGTAGTTCACGCCCATCTCCTGGCTGAACTCTACTTCAATATCAGCCCGTAGTTGGGATTCACCTTCGAGCTGCAGGGCAAAAATTACATATGTGAAATTGTATCGAACATCTGTTATTTATCATTTGGCTAATGTAGGTTCAGTCAGATATATATCATCAGTAACTTACTTAAGGATCATTACAGAGAAAGGTTTGCAGAATGTGCTAACATAAATAAGGCAACAATCTTAAGAAATATCATATTAAAAAGTATTGTATATCGAGATTGATGTATTACTGCATGTAACATCAAATTGTATATTTCGTTTACTCTGTATATGGACTGGATGAATTAATGGATACATTAAACTTCTTCTGAAAAATGCTAACATACTTATGTGTGTATCATGTTATTACCCTGGTACGTCTCACCTGTGATATGTATTTCACCAATTTCGGCTTGTTGTTTACCTTCTTTATGAGTAGTTCACTGTAATGATAAAGTATACAGTTCTTCTTGACAAATGCAAGATAATCTATATATTGATATATTAAAACTAAATTCACACACTCACTTTCCTGTGATATGTATTTCACCATTTTCGGCTTGTTGTTTACCTTCTTTATGAGTAGTTCACTGTAATGATAAAGTATACAGTTCTTCTTGACAAATTCAAGATAATCTATATATTGATATATTAAAACTAAATTCACACACTCACTCTCCTTTCACAACTATGTAATCATTATATGTCTGTATATGCGCAAGGAAGGAAACGAGGAAGCACTTTGATATCTTTTAACTTTCGGAGTGGGTCAAGGCTTGGTGGTGCCATTGGTATAATGCACACAGCGAAAAAGAGAAAACCCATTCTGTTCCGTTAAACCGTCATCCAGTCTGGCTGCCCCACATAAAATATTTCTTAAAAGATTTTCACCCCACGACATATCTTCTGCAGCAGAGAAAACGTCAGTACGATTTCAAAATTAGATAGGCACTGTAATCAAATCATTACAGAAATGGACATAATAAGCGGATCAAAAACATTTTTTTGTGTACAATATTTTGACACATCAATGAATAACTCAGCACAATTTCAAGACATTACGTGAACGTTTGCAGCCCATTCAGACTCTTGACTTCAGTATCTAGTGTGACCACCACGAGCGGCAATAACTGCAGCACAGCGTCTATGCATGGAGTGCACCAATCGATTGATGAAGGCCATTGGCACCTGCAACCACACTCTGAGAAAGGCCTGGCGCAATAAATCGGCTGTGTTCGGCCTTGGTATGCCATTATTCAGTCTCCTCTGAATGTAATCACAAAGATGTTCAATAGGGTTTAAATCAGGACTGAGGGCTGGTCACTGCATAATTTTGACACCGTTCTGCTGTAGGAAGTCCCGTGTAGCTCTGGCAGCATGGGCCCGGGCGTTATCATGCTGGAAAATGTTGTTCCGGTGACGTGCGAAATGACGTGGGGACTGAGAGCTTGGTCGATGTAGCGCACCGCTGTGATGCCACATCCTCTCCCTGGACCAAGTTTCTGGAACACCACAGGACCCACTGGTTCAGGCCTATTCAACCCCATACCATGATGCTTGCACCTCCCCATGAGTCTCTTTCCATAACACATTGGTCTGAGTAACGCTGGCCACGTCGTCGCCATATTTTTGTTCTGTCATCTGCAGTTGATACGCAGTACCGACACTCATCTGTGAACAGAACAGTTCTCCATTGCCTGTATCGCCAGTTTTGGTATTGTAGGGCAAACTGTGGACGTTCACGCCGATGACGAGGGGTGAGGATAGGTCCACGGCAATGGAGGTTCCCGCTGTTAAGACGTCGGCGTACTGTATCAGTACTGATTGGCGTGCTGTTTCGAATGCCTGCATGAAGGGATTCTGTACATGCTGTCGCACAACATGGCGGGCTTGTGGTCACCCTTGGTCTGCCAGTAAGGGGGCGATCATTTGTGGTGTTGGGGGTCCGGAAACCTTGCTGCAGCCTGTAGATGGTCGGAACGTTGACTTGGAAGTGATTGACAACGGCTTCTGCAGTGTGGCACAGGCAAATTGTAGCGCAAATAGTGTGGACGGAGTGAAGGAACAAGAATAACCAGAAATTAAACACAAATATCATATTGCATAATTTTACCGTTAAACTGTTAAGAATGTTCGAAACATTTATTCTACTACTGGCGTAGCGGGTAAATGAAAGCATATTCAAATTGAACTCCACTGTTCCTTCACTCCGTTGAACCGAAAGCTGGCAGGGGTAATTGAGGCGAAGAACGATTTGATATGCCACGAGTGGCGCTTAAAATGTTGAATTAAATATATTGTACGTGAGTAATTATTAAATATGAGGTTTGAAATCCGAGAGCACAACTCTGTGAGGAAATGGGTGTCTACCATTGATGATGGCGATATTTTATTTTGATATTAAAAATATTTTTCGAACCGAAGCGAGGGAAGCACGTTGCCAACTTTTCCTCGCTTCGCTAGCATATGGGAAGACTGGTCATTTTCTCTTTGTTGCGCAACCCTATTTGCACTACAATTTGCCTGTGAGTGTGGCCAGCTCCAAGTCTTCCTAGCGCCTGGTTCCTCTGAGCTGTCGTGAGTCGCGGTATCCTGCTGACGTTGTAATGTGAATGTTTCAACCAGGTTTGGGGGTGCATTTTATAGGGCTGGTCCTTGTGAACAGCACGTGCAGCATGAGTTGCATGAAAAACATGGAGAACACCGTACCACCTCAGAGATCAGGTTGCGTCTTTAAGACCATTTCCTGGGTTCCATTCTGAATTTGGGAAGGAATGTTTTTGCTCAGTTAAAGTTGGAGATGTTGTCTAAGATATACAAATATTTTGCTGCATAGTATAGGTGGCGGGTCGGGCTCGATGACTTGGGTGACTACGTGTCATCATACCACGAGTTCTCACAATATCAATCACTTGTTTGTTTGTTTAACGCCGCACACAGCAGTATTCCAGCAATATGACGGCGGTCTTAACCAGACATTCCAGTGATTGACGGCATGAGCATGTATCTACACTGACATGAGCCGACCAAGTCAGCGAGAGTGACAACCCGATCAGATTATCAGGTCAACACTCGATTACTTGGACGCAGTCGTCATGAAGCTGAAGTATTGTTGAGTTTGGCGCTAAAATAGCTAAGAAAATGATGATAACTTGTTGCACTCCAGCTCTTTCTGGTTTGATGACATAGATAAGCAATATATCAATATGTCATATATCAACATGGATATGCCATATATCAACATGGATATGCCATATATCAACATTGATATGCCATATATGAAGACTGATATGCATTATATCAACATGGATATGCCATATATCAACATTGATATGCCATATGTCAACATGGGTATGCCATATATGAAGACTGATATGCAATATATGGATATGCCAACATGGATATGCCATATATCAACATGGATATGCCATATATGAAGACTGATATGCAATATATCAACATGGATATGCCATATATCAACATTGATATGCAATATATCAACATGGATATGCCATATATGAAGACTGATATGCAATATATCAACATGGATATACAATATAACAACATACTCACAACACATATGACATGTCTGTTCCCCCATGACAATCCATGCACCTCACAGTGAAGTCATCCTTCAGCATGAGCAGTTCTTCTTGCGACGGAGAAAATGTCACATTTACCTGTCTCGCACCTGAGGTCTTGTGGACTGTAAAGTATTTCTCAGAGCTACTACTTTGATTATGATGTTCATTGAAGGGTATTCTGGTTGAGAAATTGGCCTGCCAGTCGAGATTCCCGAGTATTTTGGTGAGGATGTTGGACAGGTAACGGCGATGACGTCGCTTGGTTTCAACGGGCAGATCCGATCGTCCAGGGCTGTAGCGGAAGTGAATGTTGGCTTCCTCTATCATGTCATAAGGCCTTGAAATAAAATAATTAGCTTTAGTTATGGTCAGTTATGCTACACTTTCATATTTTCGTGAATTAATATCCTAACAAGTAATAAATACCTTGGGTATAGGTGCACAATCATCAATGTGCCAAAATTTAATGATCTTGCAACTGGCCAATACGACATCGTCCTCTGCTGGTTACACAGCCATGTTAGAATTTGTGGTAACACAATCGCCGATTCTGCTGCCAAGGCAGCACTCAACAAATCTGTGACACCACTTCTTATCCCATACTCCGATTACAAAGCCGTCATTAGAACTTATTTCCGTGATCTGATGCAAAGGAAGTAGGACACCCAAGTAGGTATTAATAAATTACATGCAACAAAACTTTATATTGGTTACACCTACTTGGGTTGTCAGTCCAGATTTGAAGAGGTCATCATGCGACGATGTCGCATTGGCCATACAAGGTTTACACATGAATAGTTGTTAAAAGGCAAAGATCCTCCCATTTTTGCATCCCTTGTGATGACAAAATCACGGTCAAGCATGTCCTGCTGGACTGTATAGATTTTTCCATCACAAAGGATAAATATTTCAATGTCAAAACATTGAAGGAACTTTTCTATATTGTTAATTGTTATCATTTTATTACTGAATTTTAAAAAGAAATTGAATTGATTGATAAATTCTGAGAAAATTGTTTTGTAGATAGATGTATTTTATATCACTGGAACTTTAAATCAGCAACTGCGATTGTTAGTGACTGTATCCTCACAGGGGGTTAAAGTATTGTAAAATTATTGTCCTCATGAGAGGACACGTAAGTCTCAAGACATTCAAAGTCAATTTATACTTACCAGATTTTGTAAAAACGCGGTACCCATGGTCCCTAGTATGGTGATCTACCTTCAGTTGTTTGCGATCTATAGCCTGTGTTTTATATTGTATCAAATATTGTTATATTGCCTGTTTTTATACTGTACTGTCCATAAGATATTGTTTAATTTTACAGTTACATGCTAGGTTTAATTCTCTATCTCTGATAATCTAGTTGTTTTACTGACCTTCCTCGACAGTTTGTTTTAATGATTTAATTGCGTCCACTATGAATTCCTAACTTTTTAAAGTCACGATATGGATGAAATATTGCCGATGTAACATTAAATCTTAACTCACTCACCCACTCATTCACTGTCCCTTAGATTTGATATCACATTATAAATTAAAAGTACGGCATGTTTCAGTGAAACAGTGTTACTGTGACTTTAAGTTGTAACTCACTTGCTCACTCAATAATTAATACAAAAATTTACAGCACAAAGCAGTATAAACAAGACATATCGTCCCTGTTTCCTTCACTTGCGCCTCGTCCTACAAAAAAACCCTTTTACGTGAAAATATTTAACAAATTTTATTATCATTAAGTCGTGCATACACTCAAATTATTCCCTAATACATTGCCTGTCATCAAGGCAACTGGCAGAACACGGCAAACACTTTGTATAACGGAAATGAAACGTTATATCGGGTGTCCCAAAGACGTGAACCGGTTTTTGACAAGTATTTTCTCAGCGATGAATAAACCGATTTGATTACAAATTTTTAAAGAGTAACCCTATGGCATACTCAACAAGTCTACAAAATATCAAAGAGATTAGTTTCAAATTATGCGAGTATTGTCAAACTCAAAACAGCATGTGAAAAAATGCAATGCAATATGGGATTCTCTAAAGGAGAAAGTTTACCGATCAGTGAGAGGAGAATTGACCGAGCAGGCGTTAAAGGACAGGATAATTATGTCACGGGAGGAGATATCGGTGGAAGAAATACGTAAACGCATTTCTGCCTGGAAGAAACGGCTTCGTTTAGTTTGAGGAGGAAGATGGAGGCCACATTGAGAAAAGATGGAAATAAGTGAATTTTCGGTGTCGTCTCAGGACGCAGACCTTTCGATTTTCCACTAGTCTCAGGACGCCTACCTGCGGTTTCCTTTGAAGGTTAAATTCTGATTAGGTTTAAGTAACGTTGCGGATAATCTACTCTAGATGTTTTCATAAGGTGAACTCGTCGCACATGTCACTTCCAATTCATTGAAAAGTTTGCAATAACACTTAGCAGAGTGCCAATATTGAACACCGTTCATATCTTTGGTATAAATATCTATGGAATGGCCAATGGATTCACATTCGATTTCGAAATGGCAAATGCACAGCTAGATCAGAGATTCATCCCTACAGCTCTCGGCAGTCGTTACTTGGCTGTTGGCGGGTTCACGTACAGAGTCAGCAAGAGACAACGAGACTGGATATCTTGGATATGTTCTGCAAAAGACTGCAAATCCACAGCATCAACAACGAATGACATCGTCACCATGGTGAAAGATGAACACAATCATCAAACTGTCACGAGTGCTATTAAGGGAAGAGTTTAAATTTCTTATATATGTATAAATATTATTCAGTGATTGCCACAGTTTTGTCGAATTTTATAACAGTGTTTCATTAAGCTGCTTAATAAAAAATGTTAAAATCTGTCAACTGAGTGTTTCAGGTTTGGAAATAACGTGATAAAAATCTAAACTGTTGTCATCTTCTCATTAGGTGTGCTCTCATCCGCATAATCCGGATTATCCTCCTCTAACAACTCGTTGATCCTTCATTGTCCTCGTAATCCATTATTAATTGGCAAAATGAAACTAGTCTCAGGACGTCGACCTTTATATTTCACTCAACCGTAAAGTTTGGTCGAAAGGTCGGCGTTATGAGCCTGAACCGAATTTTCCCTTGATATTGCATTTTTTTACATGCTTTGAATTTGACAATACTCACATAATTTGCGACCGATCTCCTAGATATTTTGTAAACTTTGTTGATGATACCCTCGGGTTACTCTGTAAAAATGTTTAATAAATTCGTTTTATCTATCGTTGAAAAAATACTTGACAAAAACCGGTTCACTTTTTTGGGACACCCGATATACAAACGATGGTTCGTAGCATGGTCATAAAAATGACCAAAATATTGCTTCATAATGGCTCAATATCATGCTTAAAATGGACCTATTGCTGGTGCTGAGGAATATATGGCCCGGTTACACATATGGACATATAATTACACAACTGAGAGAGAGAGCTTTTTCAGTAAAGGGCCATAGGCCCATTACACATCAGGTGTACAGAATATATAATCATTAGAGCACCGTACAACATCATGATAACTGCACACATATACAGAAGTCGGTACAAAGAAATTTATTTCGTTTTTTTCACGGTAAAATGGGTATTTTGCAAGACAATTTATAATATAAGTATTCTTTGATGTGAACAAAATAGCTAATTTCACTTCAGATGGATAAGTGTGATAATATTTAGGGAGAATATAATTTCTTAATTTCCCATGAAAAAGGGCATTTCAGGCAAAAGTGATATTCATTATCTATATTAGGTATGATACAAAGCGGGCAAAGGCGATCCTCCCTTTTAAGACCAAAATGTCTACCGTACTCTATCATCAAATTGTGGTTTGAACAACGAAATCTACTTAAGAAAATGCGAACTGTTTTACACTAACACTATTGATATAAAACTCAAAAGCTACATCTTCTTTGAGTCTACAATAGAAATCCAATTTCGAAACAAGTGTAATACCAGATGACCACAACTGGTTATCTATGTCAGTGCAGCTTTTCCTTCAGTGAAAGTAAATATATTTCCAGCACTTTGACTAGCCCACACATTGCCAAAACCATAACTGTACAAAGGAGATATCACCTTATAAACCCAACAATCTATACCTTTTTCAGCAAGACAATACTGATATACCTTATTTAAGATTACATTCTCAACTTGAGACAGGAGGCGAGCGCAATATTTAACTATTTTAATATACTGGTTTACCTTTAATTAATAACGACCAATTTCAACACTCGCTACAATATTTGGCGTGTTTCTTGAAAGACCTAAAACTTGTTTGCAGAACCTATCGTGTATATTCAATACAGATGGCGACGGATGGAAACCCCAGACTTCACTACCGTACAGTAACAATGGCAAAACTTTGATACCAAATATATGGAGAAGAACATTAATTGGTAGATTATGAACATTCCTAACCGCTGATTTGAGAGGCGATCTGAATTCGACAGCTTGAAAATCTTATCTCACACTTTTGAAAGTTGCAGGTTTTTCCAGAAAACGTCATATGAAAGTTTCACACCTTGCAAACATTATAAAAATATGACCTAAACAATTATATATAAATATTAATATCTTTACATCCATTCCAGCAGTCTGCTTCGCTTAGTTTGGGTAGTGTTCGTATTGTGGGCTCGAACTCTGACTTTAAATGTGAGGTTGTCACCAACCGCCGAGCAATAGAGGGGGAATGTAAACAGGAAATTTAGTGTTATGGATTACCATAAAATGGTCATAGTTATGGTCGATACTACACTCTTCAAAAGAAAAAAACCCGCATAAGTTACTGCGTTAGTTTAAGAGCAATCTTTTTCATTTTATTCCAAATTGTAAAAAAGGTGAAAATTCACACGTATATAGACAAAGAGTCTCTTGTGTTTCTGTTTACTTGAATCCACAAGATGGCGTCGAAGTCAGTACTTTGTATGGGCAGCAATTACTGCTCGGCACCCTCTTGTCATAGACTGGATAAGTCGACGAAGTCGCTCATGCTCTTCCTGCAATGTGATGGTCAGTTGTGAAAGTGTCTGAGGCGTTTTCTGGTTTAGATCTGGTAATCGGGAAGGCCATGGCAAGACACTGATGTTAGAATTGGCAAGGTAGCGGATCGTGGCGCGTACTTTATGTGAAGTAGCGTTGTCATGCTCAAACAACTCCATAATCGGAAGCATGTGACTACAAGGACTTCGTTGATGTACCGATTTGCTGTCAAATTCCCCTGAACCACCACTAAATCAGATCTTTGTGTGCTGGATATCTTACCCCACACCACCGAATATGTCGCCCTGTCGAATGCAAGTAGGGGCAAAACGTTCACGGTAAACACGCTGTCTTCCATCTCAACGGTGAAGATGAAATCGTGCTTCATCACTGAACCAGATTCGCCTCCAGCTTCTAAGCTCCCAGTTACTGACTCTACGATACCACCGTAAGCGATTGAGCCAATGGAAGTATCTCAAAACAGGGGCGACAACTGGCCTTCTTGGTCGAATCCCCACTTCACGCAATCGATCCTTGACAGTTAGGTTTGAAATTCTTCTCAAATTAGGGATGCATTGTGCAGTCTCCACAGCTGTTCAAGTGAGCAACCAGAATGTAGCGGTTCTGGGCTTGGGTGGTAACTCTTGGAAGGCCGCTTCTCGGCGGAATTGGTCTGCAAGATATGGTGCTCTGGTGAACGTTGAAATGTCGGGCAACTGCAGACTGCAACTCCCCAGCTTCAAGGCGGCCTATGACGATGTATCGATTGGCGGCACACAGATGTGGCTTGATAATTATCTCTTTTCCAGGCAAAAACGAATGACAAAATTAAACACAATGTTTGCTTTTTCATAATGATCGATACCGCATGCTTTTCCGCTTACTTGCACATGCATTTTGCTTTGCATGTTTTCTTGGTGACGTTTTGGCGAATATTTCTTCAAAAACGTCTAAAACAAGGGAAAATGTTAAAATTGCTGCGTTTTGGCGCTGAAGCATCAATTACACAAACATGAACTTTCGGAAATAAATAGTATATTTGCATTGTTTTCGCAGCAGCTACCTGAGTCCAATATTCTCAAAATCACATATGCCTTTCTTTTTTTCGAAGAGTGTATAAGATTGCGTGATTTTCCATGAAGTCCAAATGTCGTAGTCTTGGTATCTCACTTTTAAGGGAAAAAGTATTGACTGAGGTATAGTCCCGATAATTTTGCCAATTATTACATTCTCGGATTTGTCAACTTTCCTTCCAAAGATCGAGATTCGGAGACTGTCAAAGGCGTCATTCCGTAAATCGGAGACGTACGTGAATGGATTTGTACGACTGATGTGTATATGGGCCTTTAAGACATGTGAAATGTTAAAGGGGTGATCTGCACATGGACATTGGTCTGGTCATAAAAGTACCTTTCTGAACATGATGGATAAAACACGATAGTGTGTACTTACCCAGCAGGGACAACGTGCATGGAAATACGATATTCGGTAGGAAAGTAGATGCTGGAGATCTTAGCATAGATCCCATCTCCACCAGATCCCTGTGACGCATTACACCTCCATGTTGTGCTCCCCAGGATGAGCTGACCCACTCTCCAGTCCCTGCCGACATCCTTCTGAGTGGTCACCAACAGGACCCTGTCGTCCACACACACGAGGCGCTGGAAAACACATGTCCTCTCGTGATCGCCTTTGTTACTAATTATTAAAAGTGATTATGAACAGAGGTCTAGTGTCTGATGATATTTATTGCTTCAATTCAAAATCAATCCAAACTGCACAAAAACATATAAACATTTAATCACGGTAGTGTAGCTGTTGAAAGTGTTGGCGATATCCACTGATAACAAAATATATTATACAGAACCGCGTGCCACAATGTATTCCTATCATATGAGAAAATCATTATGCATATGGTTATGAAATGTCAGTATTGCGTGTGTACCCATTGACCACAAAACATGCCACTTGGTCACTTGATACTCGGTCATACATGTACATATGATCATATTTTATATTATTTATTAATCTACTTTATAAGAAATTGTCAGACCAGAACGTCTCACCAAAAATCAAATTGTTCGAAAGAAATATATAAATCTGTCTCTGACCGGTGAAATGTTATAGATGAATATGTTTTGATTTATATATTAATTGCTTTGAACAATATTTAATCATTTTGGCCTGGAACGACTGCGGGACAACACTCGAAATGCCCATAGAGAATACTACACGAGGTCTCATTACATACGAATTATACGAAACGAGTGTCCTTCCTATGGTATCTGACCGAGCGAAAGCGAAGTCGGAAACCACAGGAAGGTCACGAGTTTCGTATAATTCGTATGTAATGAGACCGAGTGTGGTATTTTATTTATTACCCACGTCTTCCATGCATTAAATTGACAAAAAAGCGTATTTTTGTTATTGTTATGGTTTCAAACCGAAACCGGTTTCATTAAGAGGTTGCGGAAGAATGAACACTTTTGCAAGACGTCACACTGTAATGACGTCACTACGCCATTCTCGTCTGTCCCCTTGGTAACCGACGTCACGATGCATGTCAGTTGTCATCGCCTCTTGTACAGCCTCCTACAGTAAACTACTCCGTAGCACCTCGTTTCTTGATTTGCAACTGCTTCACTCGGCTAACATCACTGGTGGAAACATTGCGTTTATGTTTTTCGACGGATAAAATGTCTCAGTTCGACTCACAATTAAACAGCGACACGGCAACGTTGCAATATGTACATTCCCACATTGCATATAAGTTGTAGAATGAATGAATTCACGTGTTTGTTATGAATGAACAAGTAGTTCCGTCACAACGTGACCTAACTGAGAGGTCATCGGTTATCCAATCAAATCGTTAGAATCTCAGCTCAAGTCGTTACGACACAGGTCAACGCGATACGACACTCGTGTGACGTACGAGATTAGTATGCAACTATCCATACGTTGACCACGTGGGTAATAAAACGGAATACGGCACCTTAGTTATTGCAGGGCCATTCGCATCCATGAAGTATTAGATAATACCTAACCTTACGAATCGTATGTCTCAGCCCACTGTTGGGGTGGTGGGATAGCCTAGTAGTTAAGGCGTTCGTTCGTCACGCCGAAGACCTGAGTTCGATTTCTCACATGGGTACAATATGTGAAGCCCATTTCTGGTGTCCCCCTCCGCGATATTGCTGGAATATTGCTCAAAGCGGCGTATCTCACTCACTTAGTTCACTATAATTATCATATATACACACATTCACTTGCAACCGTTTATACCCATACCTTTAGTCCATCAACGACATCAAGATCAACAACATCACTGAGGACCCCAGAACTGTGAAGCTTGAACCGTTCACCGTTGTCGTCAGTTGTGAAGTCCACGTTGTGGTGGAAGGAGTTGTCTGTGGAAAGACTGTGGCATGGGAACAGCCCCGCTATAACAAAGACGAAAACCAGACGCAACATGGCAAGCCCGTGGTGTGATCAGCTGTACGCCATGGTCTGTTATATACGCTTGATCGGCAACTGGATACATGATCTTTCTGTCACTCACATTGCTTGTAACGCCTTGTAAACTGCTGTACGTGCATTGGACAATAAAAATAACTCGTCAGTATATACAGTAGGCTGTGTTGGCTAAGGTTCCTCCAGAGCTGACGTACACTGCTATCATGAAGAGCGCCGGCTGGGTGGGTGCAGCCCTCCTGCTACTGTGCTCATACAGTCAGGGGTATTTCTTCCAAGACGGCTACGACCATCAGTATACCTACTCCTCTGTGTCGGAACTGTTCGGCCATAAAAATATCACCACTGTTCTGAAGGTAAGTTGTAATTATTAATCTGTAATGGGAACAGGTATTTTCATGGGTTCCTTTTTCGCAAACATTCAGCTCCTGACATTCAAAACGTATTTGACGATAGGACAACGATGTTGTACATGACTTGTTGTAGTAGTAGTAGTAGTAGTAGTAGTAGTAGTAGTAGTAGTAGTAGTAGTAGTAGTAGTGGAGGTTGTGGTGGCAGTATGTGTGCCAACTCATAGGAACCAGTGTAGGTGCTCAAGGCAGATGATAAATAAAATATATAGATTCAAAACATTTTCAAAAAGATAGTTACATATATGTTTCCCTACAATTACATGAGACATCCAACCTCGGTATTGTTTCTGTTGTGACTGTTTAAATTTTATTCTCAGGGTAAATATTTCGGCAGCCTTACTGGATTCGATTTTTTATATGTTTCCGGAACGCTTGTCTGTGCACAGAAAAATTGTACTACGTGGCTAAGGCAAGGGGAATAGAACCAGTAAAAGACGACTGATAAATGAAACCAATGACTACAGTGATGTGTGTTTTCTGTCATCAGCTCTGGGGTCGAAATGACTTAATTAGGTCATATAGAACAAGCTTATTCATGAATACAGGGGGCGGTGGGTAGCCTAGTGGTTAAAGCGTTATCTCGTCACGCCGAAGATCCGGGTTCGATTCCTCACATGGCTACAATGTGTGAAACCCATTTCTGGTGTCCCAAGATATTGCTGGAATATCGCTAAAAGCGGCTTAAAACCATACTCACTCACTCATGAATACAGACCACCTTGCTAATAGTTCATTTTAATGAAGCATATACACAGTGTATGCACATGTAAGAACTATCATGAAATATATTTTCTACCTGCATTGATACATGTATCTTAAATAACATCAGTATGTTGCTGACGTACGGTTTCATTAGTGGTAGATAGAAGGCTTATGGATTTTACGCCATGAGCCAGACAATTTTTCGGTACCGCTCAGAGGGACCAAACACTTTTATGATCTTTATAATTGTTATGGCCTCTTTATATAAAAAATGTATGATGGCCATGTCGGTTTTGTAGCTCAAATTTACCTAAACCTGGAGAGGTTTCCAATTCTTTGAACAAAGTCTTCCTTGTGGTACTCCAGCATTTTTCACCGAAAACATGTCTAATGGCCGTGCAAAGAGTTTTAAAATTTCTATATTTTTTTTAAAACAACAAACTTTTGTTAATGCGGTATGAAGTGGTGAGCGTATTACCTCCCTTTTATGAAACCTTATGGCTAAGGGTTACCCATCATGCCATACAACTTCCTCTTTTTCTGGTCAAGAGCGAGCAGAATCGAGGGGAGGTGGGCGACCGTATCCCAAGGAAACTTACTTCCAGGAATTGTAAACCTCTCCAGGTTTAGGTAATTCCTTTTCAGAAGAAGTCTTCCTTGGGGTACTCTAGCATGAATACAGACTCCCAGAGATAAGTAATGGTAGAGCGCTTTGAGCAAATCCCTGTGACGTGGAAAGGTAAAAATAGCCGTGGTGTACCCTCGAATAGTCGAGGCCGACAAGCCATCGTCCGGACGGGACTGAAGGAACTCCAATACTGTGACTAGGTCTGAAGAAAAGGGATCTGGAAACCCTCTGTTGTCACACCAGCGCGCATAACAGGCCCATCTATCCTCATACTGAACGTTTGTCAACCCTCCTCGAAGCCAGAATTGTGTCTGCAACTGGTGCAGGAATTCCGCGTGCCTCGAGTTGAGACCTGACAGAGGCTAAGCCACCCATTGAATGTGGGGATTCGGGTGTGGCGCTCCCTTCTGAGTTAGAAGGTCCGGTCGAAAAGGTAATAGAACAAGAGGCTGAGCCAGAAACCTGAAAATTACCGGAAACCAGCTCTTGGACGGCCAAAGGGGTGCGAGGAGCACAAGAAGCCGAGCTGGCTGGGTGGAAATCTGAGACAGGGCCCTGGGGACTAACGGTAGGGGCGGGAAAGCCCACAGTATCTTGCCCGTCCAATCCAGTGCAAAGGTGTTGGAAGCCAAAGCCCTTGGGTCTGGGATCCGAGAGCAGAACACAGGAATCTGATTTGTCCCCCAAGACGCAAACAGATCCACCTGGAACGGTCCGTACAACTGGGAAATAAACCCGAATGTCCTTCGATTGAGCATCCACTCGTGTGGGACTAGGATTCGCCTTGACAGGGCATCTGCTCGGACATTCTCCAGCCCCGGAAGGTACACTGGGATCACAGAGACGTTGTACCGGTCACACTACTGCAGGAACTGCATGCCTCCGTGAGGAGCGGGCCAGACACAGTGCTGCCTTGCTTCAGGATATACGTCATCGCCGTCTGGATGTCCATTTCTAGACGAACCGTCTGGTTCTGAACATGGTCCTTGAAGCTCTCGAAAACCAGTCTGACTGCTCTCAGTTCCAACACATTGATGTGCGAGCAAGTCTCCTTCTGGGACCAGAGGTCAGAAGCTGTGAGACTGCCCAGAACGCCCCCCACCCCGCCCCACCCCCCAGCCGGACAGGGACTCATCTGTCTGAACTGAGAGAGATGGGTCGAGGCCTTAAGAAAGAGCCCTCTCGAGAGATGCTTGACTTTGGTCCACCACTGGAGATGAGCACATAGCCACTGAGAAAACTCTATCTGAGTTTCCAGGTCCTGTGAGTGAGTCCATGATTGGGAAAGAGCCTGTTGGATTGGACGCATTCTTAGCCGTCCTCTCCATCCCATATCTACTGAAGCTGCTATGTGACCAAGCAGACGGAGCCAAGTCCGAGCTGGGGCCCTTGGCGCCGAGAGGAATGACAGAGTCGCTTCCCTCACCCTGTTAATGCGGTCGGGGGATAGTGAAACTAAACCCTGTCCTGTACTGAATCTCGCCCCTAAGAAAATCAGGTCCTGAGACGGAACTAGCTCTTCAGGTTCACAATCCAACCTAGTTGAATGAGACTGTGAAACACTGCTTTGGTTGCCGACGTGCTCGACGCCTGTGCCAGAGCTCGGATCAACCAGTCGTCTAGGTAAGGGTGGCAAAAACTGACCTTGTGACCTGGCGACCTGTGCTGGCACCATCATCAGTTTGGTAAACACCCTGGGGGCCGTAGCGAGACCGAATGGTAGCACTTTGAACTGATAACTCACTCCCTCGAATGAGAACCTGAGGTATCTCCTGAACGAGGGGTGCACTAGGACATGTAAGTATGTATCCTTCAGGTAGATTGACGTAAGCCAATCTCCCGGCTGTACTGAGGAGATCACTGAACGCAGGCACGGGAGGACTGTTGAAACAGGTCGACGCCAGGAGTACCTTAGACTCCATGCAGGAGCTCGCGGCCGCTGCTGCCTCCCTACAATCTGTGCCGACCCTGGGAACAAAGTTGTACCGAGCTCATAAGGGAGGGTAAGCAGGGTAGCCTGGTGCTGTGGCAGGTAGCTAGTACAGCTCAGCCACAGTCGGCGCATGCCCATGACAGCACCCATTAAGCTGGCAGACGCAGATGCGTCCCTAGCTAGGTGCTGTCCTATCTCGGCTAATTGAACTAGAGAGGACAATGCCAGATGCCGTGTCACCATTGTCCATTTGGGTCCGAGTCTGGCTGCATTGGAGTGATGCCAGATAGGAGCTGTGCACCGCCACCCGCATCTGCTGACCCGAATTACGATAGCTCTTCTTAAGAGCCTTGTAAACAGATCGCAGTACGTCCCATAGCTGCAGGCATGCCAGTCGCAACCCTGGTAGACACACCAGGTATCGAGAGGGGTCTGAAGCCAGCTGGTCGAGGGGCACAGGGCCGGAGCCCAGTGTCTCAACCATGGATGTGAGTACCAGCGGCTGGTCCGAAGACGGGCCCAAAATGGTCTCTACCTTCATTGGATCGGGACCCGACGTGTGAGGATACTGCTCGCCAGGTCCCTCCCCCTGCCCTCCTAGAGCCGAAGCCAAGGTCTGCTCAGCCCTAGGTGAGGGGGTCACAGTCTCCTCGGCCGCCGAGTTCCTTGCGAAGAGCATTGACCGACTCCTCAACCATGACACGCATAGCCTCGAGCTGCTGCTGAAAAAGAAGCTCCATGTTAAAGCCTGGGGTTGGAGGGACCACCACACCAGAAGGGGCACTTACCTCCACCTCATTTACAGTTTTACCACCCCTATACCCCTTGGCACGTTTAGCTACATTTTATGCTTGGATTTACTCGGGGGGAGCACCTCGGCATGGTTTGCCACAACCTCCCTCGCTTCTTTCAGAAACGTGAGGTCAGCCGCCCTCTGCTTCTGGGTCTTAGGGGTGAATGCCTGACATAAGTCACAGTCGTTCGGGATGTGTCCCTCCACCTCCAGGCACCTAATACAGAGGCTGTGCTTCTCTTGGGGTGGGAGGGATGAGCCACAATTGTCACACGGCGAAAAGGCTTGGTGAGAGATAGAGTGGATGTAAGTCTTGGCAATTAATAAATAAAATCATATGTACGCACACATTTAGGGTGCAATATGAAAGAAAGATATATAGAGTCCCGACAGCCGAAACGAGACCTCGAGTCGACGCAGGCAGAGGGAAGCCAGTTGCAGATTATCGTGAAATTTATCCAAAATGGAATAAAAACGATAAGCAAAAGGTAACATGTAAAGCATACATTATATATACATAATATACTAGGCACATAAAGAAACTGTGCATACAAAAATTTAAAATCTAAATTTATCAAACCTGTGTAGACACATAAGGATTTAAACTGGTAATAGTCTGAGGGGCAAAGCTAGTACCTCCTGGCTCTTAAGTCACCAGAAAATTGAAGGTATGCCTCCTCGCCTAGCTGTTTGGCTCACTGAAGATCTTGAGCAACATCTGTCTGAGGACAAGACCCTGTCGATATGCTGCTGTCAAACGGGTTGATCCATTCACCTTCCATCAGATTAACATCTGATTCATCCTTGACTAACCTTGAATATTTCGAGTCATGGTGACTAAAGTCAGGTGCCTGAATCACCTCGAGTCTTCTCAGCTGGCTAAGACTTCTATGTTCAGCGATAAGATAGTACCTACTCACAGCAGATGGCTTGAGACTGTTACTCAGGATCTTCAGCAAGCCAAACAGCTAGGAGAGAAGACATACCTTCAATTTTCTTCAGAATAAATGTTTTCGAAAAAGTTCTTGAACTGACAATTTTGACAAAGTCAGGAAAACATGATTTATAGGTATCAAATATCAAAACTTGATATTAATGAAATCTGTTTAATCATGTTAGCACTATTTTACCTCTTTTTTCATTTTCAACCTATTTGTAGAACTTTACTCAAGATTAGAGCTTGGAATTGACATTTTTTTTGAAATTTTGGTTTTAGGCGGTTTTTGATTTAGGCTCGTTCTGAGTTTGAGCTACCAAACTGACACGGCCATCATGAATATTTGATATGTAGAGTCATAAAGAAATATAAAAACACTAAATCTTTTGGTCCCTTTGAGTGGTACCAATATGCCAATTTTCAGCTCCTGGCTCCTGGCCAATTTGTAGAATTGTTTACGCAACATCACTGATGTCAGTGATTTCATATACTGTAATATTTTCATCACTGAATTGCCGTTGACGTTTAATGAAATATGTTTCGGAGATAATCGAAACTTTGTGAACTGTCGAGAAAGTGTTTCGTCTCTAAGCCAAAGTGAAATATTTTGACAGAATTTATAAACGCATGGTGTTTCTGAATATCTTCAGTTCAAGATCAGAGCCCTCAATACGACAGAGGATGGCGGAAGACTGCATTCGTTACGTGTGATCAGTATTGTGCAGTTTGCAGATGGCAGATGTGAGTATTGCTTTTGTTATACAACATCTTGATACACGTAATACAATCCTAAAATAATCTGGTGGTGTACTGGTGCCTTTTAGGTATTCTGAATGAAATATTTGTGGCGTTTTCATGGCAACAAGTTTGACTTAGACTGAAAGTGGTGGTAGTGCTCTTTTCCGGAGCAGAACTCTAAAACCGTTCACTATTTCTTCACCAAACTTGGCGCATAGATACATCTGGTTGTGTACTGGTGCCTTTTGGTAGTTTTGATATTCTGAATAAAATAACTTTTGGCGTTTCCATGGCAACAAGTTTGACTTAGACTGAAAGTGGTGGTAGTGCTAATTTTCCGGAGCAGAATTCTAAAACCGTTCACTATTTCTTCACCTAACATGGCACATAGATTGGTCTGGTGGTGTACTGGTGCCTTTTGGTAGTTTTGGTATTCTGAATAAAATATTGTTGGCGTTTCCATGGCAACAAGTTTGACTTTGACTGAAAGTGGTGGTAGTGCTCTTTTCCGGAGCAGAACTCCAAAACCGTTCACTATTTCTTCACCTAACATGGCACATAGATTGGTCTGGTGGTGTACTGGTGCCTTTTGGTAGTTTTGGTATTCTGAATAAAATATTGTTGGCGTTTCCATGGCAACAAGTTTGACTTTGACTGAAAGTGGTGGTAGTGCTCTTTTCCGGAGCAGAACTCTCAAACCGTTCACTATTTCTTCATTAAACTTGGCACATAGGTTGTTCTGGTGGTGTACTGGTGCCTTTTGGTAGTTTTGGATTTCTGAATAAAATATCTTTGCATTTCCATGCCAACAAGTTTGACTTAGACTGAAACTGATGGAAGTGCTCATTTCTGGAGCAGAACTTTTAAGACCTTTCAATACTCTCCTTCCACTTTTCTATATACACACCGAAACATTTGACATAATAAGAACTCGTAGACATTCATGAAGAGTATTTTGCCATTGCGGGGGATGTTGATGACTTTGTCTTCTTGTTTACATTGTATAATCCGCTATATAGTTGAACTGTTTTAGATTTAATTAATAGTTTTAAATACATATATAACTGTGATAGTCTATCTGTTTTACTGACCTTCGTTGACGAGTGCTGATAATTTATTTTTAATCAGTATAAATATGGCTGAAATATTGCCGATGTGACTTAAAATCTTAACTCACTCATTCAATCCTAATATATTTACGCAAACAATGCTAATCGTAATAGGCCGAGTAAATTAAGAATCGTTCCGTATCAATGTGCCACCTTCCTGATACGTTATGGATACGCGTATTCAGTATTTTAACAAATATGTTTTCTTATTTTGCAGACTTCAGTAACCCCAAAAGGTTGGAATTTGGAAACAATGTGAGTGTCTTTACACATCTTTCCTGACTATAATATCAAATGTACATACAGTTTAGATTTGTGCGCAAGTCTTTGGGTGTCTTGTAAATACGAAGTGAGAGAGTTAATTTTTTACAACGGCAATATTTCAGCCATGAGGTGACGAGAGAAGATTATATATGCTAACGAAAAAAAAGTAACTTTGCACAAAATAAAATTGCATAAAATAAACGTTATTTGAAAAGTTGTAAAAGTAATCCTAAATAAACATGTAGCGAAGCGCGTGGCACGTGCACTTTGTGCACAACGAACTTGCTCACTTTTGCATGCTTTTTGACCCCTGAAGTTCACACAATTTGATATTGACACTGAATAACAGTCGATTATTCTCCAGCCTCTGAATGTTGTGGAAAACGCGTTATGCCAGCCTAAACTGCGCGTGCGTCATGCTACGGCTTACAGAAAATCAGCGTCTCCGCGCCGTGGGTATGCTGGAAAATAATGGCTCAAAATGATGGAGCCAGACATTTTGCTGTCCATCGAAACACTATCTCATATCTATGGAGACGTTTTCGCTTAATGGGAACACGAGATTTGCCATGGACCGGCTGTCCACACGTGACGTCACGTCAGCAAGACAACCACAGTCGGCTGACCCATCAAAGGAAAAAGATTTCAGACTGCAAGATTGACTGCTCGGACCATTCCTGGCTTAAGTCAAATCAGTTCTAGGACTGCACGGAACCGACCGAGGGAGCACAACATCCGGACCCAACGGCCTCCAATACGTCCAATTTTGCTCCAACGTCACCGACAGGCACATCATGCAAGATTGGGGTTGTGTTTTGTTCAATGATGAATCGAAATATCCTCTGGACAGCTCAGATGGCAGGGCAAGGGTGTACAGACGGCGAGGTGAACGGTATGCTGACGCGTGCGTTGTTCAACGTCGATTGTTTGCTGGCGACATGGTTATGGTATGGGAGGCATCTCATCTCATGGTCGGACACAACTTGTCATTGCCAGTGACAATCTAAAAGGTCTGAATACAGGGATGAGATCACTGGACCTTTATGTGCAGCCGTTCATTCAAGGAAAGAAACGTAACTCTTAGCACGCTTGGGATGAAATTGAGCGACGTTTACGTCAAGCCCAGAACAAGCCATTGACGTTAGCTGAATTGGTAGAAGCCTTGGTTCAGACATGAAACATCATTCCCCAAGCTTTCCTCAATCGGATAGTGTTGTCTATACTTCTTCCTTGTCAAGCCTGCATCAAGGCCAATGGTGGATACACGATGCTGAATTTGTGAAGTGATTTTTGACATCACATCTCTTCCGGAGCATATCACGATGCCCAGTGTCAAATCATACAGATTCGGATATTATCCTGTCAATAGTTAAACAGGGATTAAAGAAAACGCCACAAATCACGTTATTATCTGTGTTAGATGGCAATTTTCAAAATCAGATGTGTAAACTTCAGGAATCAAAACGCATGCCAAAAAAGTTCATTATGCACAAAGTGCACCTGCCACGCGCAATACGTGACATCGAATTTCATGCAAATGTTTTGCTACATGTTTATTTAGATAATAACTTTAATTTTATGCAATTTCATGTTATGCACAGTTACTTTTCCTTTGAGTATAGTTGTAAATCGTACATTCCATGCCGCTCTTGGCATGAACTTTTGTGTGTGCGGAAAGGGATTGTCGCGTTTATTAAGAATACGTTGGATCGGCGTAGATCGTGTGATCAGGCTTGTCGTTGGTGTATTTGGACCTTTGATTCCTCAGAGATGTTCCTGGCATTCTCGATCAAGCAGAAACATTTCTCCAATGTGATATTAAGTTCTAACCCTTCTTTCCAAAGTATCATTTTCCCGCTATGTGTGGTAGCAGAATTGACTGCCAGTCTGACCTTAGGTTAGTCATCACCCATTTACCCTTGACTTAACACTAGCATCTGTGCTGATTAAATATTGCATCCGCCATGGCATCTGTTTTGAGTCATAAGCCAAGATTCAAACTGGTTGTATCAAACCCGACAACTATATCCTGCCAACACAAGTCTTCCATGGATTGCATTTTATTCCACATGCAACACAGATTTCTTGTCCTTCTCCGACCAGAGAAGAATCTTACTGTCAAATTGCAATAACTCGTTTAGGGCTGTCGGCAACACTTCACCGCATACAGCATCACTTTTCATAAGAGGGCTTTTAATGGTCATCAGTTGACTTTAGTGTTGTTACGTGATGCTAAAGCTTGCTTTTAACCGCATGAGTCACACTAGTATTATGTGTTCGCTGTTAATAACTGAACAACGAATGATACGACAATATTATTTGACTGAGTCAAGAAAGTAGACAACATTGATACAGTTCCATTAAAGAGCCTCCTACCTCACGCTTAACTGATTACCGCCATATATTAGTAAAATGTGAGAAACGGGTGAACTAATGCAATAAAATACTCAACAATAACTGGTTAAATCCTACGACATACTGCTGCCAGCATTCCAGACAAAGGGCCGGGATTATAAAGGTGAAGGATGTACGACGCGCTGTTGCACTTGAATGTCATCCTCAGCTATAACTAGCCGACTAGGTTCTTAGATAGAGTGCAGACATATTCATTTCAATTTCTCATCACGAGAAATATGTTTAAGCTACAGAATAATGCGCCCCTTGAACATGAAGGCATTCTGCTTTTATACTTGATCATATGACATTTTACTGTGGGTGTGGCACCACTTAAAGTACGTCGGTGTTATGCACAGCAAAAATAACTCGGTTTCCTGCAATGCGAAAACCTGGTAGAAAGTGGACTGAAACTTAAGTTTCCACCTAGAATCCAGTGAGTTTCCGTTCTTTTACATTGAGTTTCCGCAATAACGGAAACTTACAATTACCCACTTTCTAAGGGTTTACGCAAGGTTTCCGCACCCACACTCCAACAGGTTTCCGCAAGGTATCCAAGTTACCCACACTCCAAGAAGTTTCCGTTGAGTTTCAGTTAACTTTGAATCCATCAGGTTTCCGCAAGGTTTCAGCTATTAAGACTCCAACAGGTTTCCGCATAGTTTCAGTTACCAACAATCTGACATAGTTTCCGCATAGTTTCAGTTCCCAACAATCCGACATAGTTTCCGCATAGTTTCAGTTACCAACATTCCGACAAGGTTTCCGCATAGTTTCAGTTACCGGTTTCAATTTCAGGTTCACAGGTTTTCATATGCGTTTCAAAGAGCTAAATGTAAACATTCTTCTTTATTTATATCATAAACTCTTGTTAAAAAACAATATAAGCAATTTGTTATTATCATGACATTTACTTAAAGAAAACAGAATATATAATAAGATTCATTGTTTTATTTTCTCAACATGGTATGGATTAGCATTTAAGGCAAATAAAGATCATACATATAACTAGTAATATAGCACTAAAGAACAGGGCAAAACATGTTGGCATAACTCAATCCAGTTTTAGAAATCATATATCATTTATAACAAAGTTGAAATTTTTCATCAGCTAAACTTTCATTCACTTATTATCTTGAAATAGCATGTTAGATACGAAATTTATTTCTAAAATCATGCTAATAATGAAAAATAACAATAACATACAACTTAACACAGTAATAAAACATAGCTGCATCTGACATTTATTTCCACGCCTTGGCATTCAGCCAAACACTCTATGTCACAACTATCGCCAAACATCCACTATATGATATACAATAACAACATACAGCTTACAATACAAAAAAAATAAAATAAAATTACATTATGAAATTGAAAATAAATTCAATTAAATTGCAAGAGCTGGTCAGTGGGTCTGTGGTAAGGCATCCCTGGGCGGAGATCCCTGTTACTTTGGTTGGATGCCTCATCCTCGTCCCTCCTGTTGGCCTTGACGAGAGCAGTGGAGGTGTAGATTCTTTCCAAGTCCAGTGTCGTCGTGTATGCCATGCTTGCTGGACTCACAGACAAAGGGGACGGAATGCAACTAATTGACGTCATCTTCGTCACCACGACTGGTGATGTCATGTCTATGGTGAGTGTTGTCGCTACCTTTTCTATCGTCTATCTGGCCAATCAATAGATGCAAGTCTGTTTGGGCGTTGTGCAAGTTTCTGAAAATGGCAGATTATAACGAATTACCAGGTTATTTTGATGAATTACACAAACATCAATCAACAAGAAGCTGACAATGCCAAGGATGATTTAAAATGAGTAATCCACAAGTAAGTTTGAATAAAAGAGAACTAAATTGAACAATCACACTTTGCACTAGTTTTCTCAAAACTCAAATTATGCAATTCATCACACTTCATTGACCGAATGTAATATCTTATTTTCTAAAGAGGACACAGAATCTATACAAACTTTGCTCTGGAGTTACATGCTTCCCAGACCAGAGGTAGTAATATGTTATATACAATATCTGAACATTTATTGCATTTTCTATGTAGTAATAATGGTACTAGTAATAGATTTTCATCAACGTTGTGGTGTCCACCGCCCTGATGTTGCTGGAATATTGCTTAAAGCGGCGTAAAACCAAACTCAGTCAGGCAGTTGTATTGTTGAAGGCACAAGTATATTCACCCAGTAGTGACTGTATGTTTACACCATTACGTCTCTTTGAGGTGTATTTAGAAGTGAATAATACAAGATACGAATGTTTCCGGATGTCAAGGTCTTTATTATGAAAACACACAGCTTGGAGTGAATGCTTTACACTTGACGAAGGGGTAAGCATTCACTCTGAAACATGTTTTCACATAATAAAGGAGTTGACATCCATAAACCTTTGTCTCTACTCTATTAATTGGAAATAATTTACTACTTATAATGAAAGTCACTACAGATAGGTCAAAAATTACCTTCACACATGTTTCAGCTGACCATCCTTGGTCATTCGTTATACAGTCTGCAGACTCATCATCAGCTGAAAAAAAAACAATAACACGTTACTTTTCTTTGCATTTCTCCATTCATTCATTTGAGCTTTAACAAACCCCAAACAATTGCAGCGACAT